AACATTTTAGGGTTTGTTGAGTACATTATCTCTATAAAAAATTACGTCGATTGGATAACGTATACTATATATTCGGATCACTTTTTTCTGAACCGTTAATTTTATGACCGTCCATTTTTTTCCAGACGAAAGTGATTTGAATACATAATATCCGTTATTCGATTGACGTAATTTTTTATAAGAATAATGTACTCAACAAATTTTAAAATGTAAATGATTCTAATTATCAAAAATAGACTCAAAAATGGGTCTAATAGGCCGAACTGGACCGGACTGTCTCAGAGTTGGTCCGGAGACCGTGCGGACCCTTTTTTATTTATGTTTTGTGATATCACTTTTTGAACAAAGTTCCAAAAACAGCCCAACTGGAAGGAAATACCAAAAAAAACATCGGAAGTCTGATGCTGAAAATTAAAAACTCAAACCTGTGAAATTTCAGTGATATCACCTTGCTTGGTTTTCAGTTTTTTAAAATATTTTTTAGAAAATTTTACTTTTTTATTTTTTGTGTTTTTTTGTTTTTACTGAATTTTTTTAATATTTTAAGTAATTTTTTTACTTTTTAGACACACCTAACATAAATATACCTAAAAAGTAAAAAAATTATAAAAAAATCTTTTAAAAATTCACTAAATACCAAAAATACAAAAAAATATATATGAATTCAGTACATTTTTTATATTTTTATGTATTTATTAATTTTTTAAAATATTTTTTCACAGATTTTTTATTTTTTAGATACATCTAAGTAAGGTGCATCTAAAAAAGTAAAAAAAATGTTTAAAATTTAAAAAATATTCACTAAAAACAAAAAAACACAAAAATCAAAAAAGTCAATTTTCAAAAAACTTAATCCAGAAAATTCAAACCAAACACCGTGAATAATATTGTAATTTCTTTTGGGTATTTCTTCATTCACACTTTCTCTATAGTAGTCTTGGGCAATCTCATTAAGCCTAATAAATAGAGTTACACATTGAAATTAGTGTAGCATAGTTACTAATTAGTATATTAATAAATGGTATGGCATAATTTTATTACTTTTGAGTCTTTATAATTTGTATAATAGATAGGGTCCATAATTTTGAAATTGCGATACTATAACATATGTTGGTACACTAATTAGTATACTAATTAGCACCATTGTTTTTCAAATAATTAGTCTACATATGCACAATTAAATTGCTAAATACATGTTTATTATATTGACATGTACATTCTGAATGCTCTGACATATACGATCTGAATAATTTTGTATGATTTAACTTTGCGTAACTAAGAACATCATAATTAATGTTAAGAGTAATGTTAAGTGACATAGCAGGAGGTTGAAGTTTAGTTGGCTGGTTTTTAAATAAATTAACAACTGACATATAACAGTCCATGTCAATGGAGGTAAATTTAAAAGTGATGTTATGGGGTTTCAACCATTTTCCTAATGTTAAAAAGACAATGTCAAAGCCAAACTTTGACATGTTAAAGTATTAAAATGTTATAATTTGACAATATTATTCGAATGGTACAAATGTTGCTTCTTATAATTTTATCACAAAATATTTAATAAAAATGATATTTGTGAGTCCATTATAAAAGAGGTAGAGAGATAGTGTTGCCGCAATTTGTCTCAGATTTGACAAAATATAATTTGAGAGGGTAATTTTTGAGAAAAATTGGGCCGAGCTTCGAGTTGGGTTTCGAGGCCCAAAACGTAGAGGACTAGGTAAAAGGGCCGTACTGAATACTCCGGCCTAGAAGGCAAGGTTACTCCGGCTTTGGGGAGACAATGTTACTTCGGCCCAAGGAGGTGAGTGTATTCCGGCTCAAGAAAAGATAGTTGCTTCGGCCCAAGGAGGAGTAAAGCTACTCCGGTCCAGAGGCAACTCGGAGTTAGGCCGGTCGCACAAAGCCAAACTTTGACATGTTAAAGTATTAAAATGTTATAATTTGACAATTTTACTCCAATGATACAAATGTTGCTTCTTATAATTTTATCACAAAATATTTAATAAAAATGATATTTGTGAGTCCATTATAAAAGAGGTAGGGAGATAGTGTTGCCGCAATTTGTCTCAGATTTGACAAAATATAATTTAACAAGAGTTTTGATGCACTATTAAAGAAGAAGTTTTTAAAAAAATTGTCAAATTTTAATTTTGACAAGAATTATAGCATGTTATTTGTAACAGAAAGAGTTGTCACAATTTGGGTCAAACTCGACATAAAATTTGATAAAATACAATTTAACAAAAGTTTTAACACACTATTAAAGAAGAATTTTTTAGAAAAACTTGTTAAATTTTAATTTTGACAATAATTATAGCATGTCATCTCTAAGAAAGTGAGTTTAACACAATTTGTGTAAAACTTGACATAAAATTTGATTAAAAAAAATTTGACAAGAGTTTTGGCCCCCCATTAAAGAAAAACTTTTTAGAAAAACTTGTAAAATTTTATTTTTGACAAGAAATATAACATGCCATCTACAATTGAAAACATTAGAATGAGCCTCCTTTTTTGCTCAAATTTATGGGTTCTTTGTAGGATAGGAATCTCTCTTCCTAAAGCTAGATTCCTAAAGCTAGATTCTTGCCTTCATCATTTTTTCCCCACTTTATTAAAGCTCATAATAAATAAATAAATAAATAAAAACAGATTCTTTATCAAACATATTGATTTGTGTTTTTCAAAAAAATTTAAAAAAAAATTCTTTACAAATAAGTTTTCAAAAGTAATCAAATCAAATAAATTTTTTTAAAATTTTTTCCAAAACTTGTTTGGTTTACAAGTTTCTAAACAAATCTCTCTCTCATACACATCAAATCAATCACTTTTTTCAAAACTCTCTCTCAAAATATTTTTTCAAAACATCTTTTGAAAAAAAACCAAACCAAATAAATTTTCGTACTTTTTATCTCAAAATATATTTCTCAAATACAAACCAAAAAGCTCAGAATTTCTTTTCCAAGTTATAATTAAACTAAGATTTAATTAAACTAAGATTTGAGTGCTGCACTTTTACCAATTTATAATAGGTTTTGAGACCTGTTATTCATAGATTATTAAATCATTAAAAGTCTAGTCTCTTCTTGCTTGACCTTTGGCAACAATGAATCTCATAGCATGTTTTCCCAATAAATGCTTCATTTCATAGGTCCATTAATATAAATTATAATATAATTTTTTATTTAAATAAATTACACTGTATTTTTTTTGGACTTGAAAAAAATATAATAAAGATTTGTAATTTTAGATTAATTATACTAATTTGTATTTTAAAGTTAAGAATAAATACAAAAATGATGTGAAGGCTAGTAAATAAGGTAAAATATACATTTCAATATAAAACAAATGATAATATATTTTTTTATCAATATGATTAACAATTTTTTTTTATTTATTAAAAAGGGATTTAAAAGCTATATGAATTACAATTTTAAGAAAATCCAATATTATACAAAATTATTTTCTTATTATTCTTTTTTTCAAACTTTGAAAAATATCAGTCTAATTTATCCATTTTTTATTTTATCTCAAATGTTTGGCACTGGTCAGTGGTAATAATTGGCTATGTAGTTATTTTCCAAACCATACACATTAAAGTTAGCCACATTTTGTTTGGTACTGGTCAATGGTAACAATTATCAATAAAGAGCCACATTTTATTTTTTAAGAATAAAAACTTCATTGAATAAGACAATGAAAAGTATCAAAGTAAACAAACTATAATAAACCATTAGGATGACCATTTATCCCTTCTTGTATAACTTTTGTATGTATATTTCTATCTATATATAAAATTTAATATGTTAAATATAATAAGATTAAACACTAAATTGTTCACATATCTCTCTTTTTTGTATTTTTATCTCTTATATTTAATATTTTAATTTTGATTACTTTTATCAATTGTTTCTCATATGTTATTTTATCTTTTTCTCATTAATATTGTCCTTTCTTAAAATTGATAAATATCTCTTTGATTTTCTTAGTGTCAATAAAGAAGGAGAAAGACAAGACATTACAAACTTGATCCATCGTGCCCTATAGCCACTCTTGCAAACCATATATAAGGGGTGTTTGGCAAAGGCTTTTTGGATTAAAATTCACAAAATGAAAGAATATGTTAAAATAGTTAATAAGACAAAATATCACATTAAATTCATAACATCACATCCAACTATAAAAAAATCTAATTAGTTTTCTAAACATAAAAATTTTAGCTTACTAAAATAATCAAAAACTAAAATAGCCTACTAATAGTGGTGTTTTGAAAAGTTGGTAAAAACTAATTTTTTGACTTTTTTGTGGCTTCTTGGTTTTTTGTGTTAAAACAATTTACTTTTTTTATGATTTTTTGTGTAAAAAAGTTTAAAAAACTAAAAAAAATTAGCTTTTTTAACTTCTTTTCAAATTACCCCATGTACCTACATTTTTTACGAAGGAAAAAAATTGGCATTAGGGTCAAATGGAGTTGGGGCACCTAAAGACACAACAAATAGTCACTACAAAAACTAGTCCATAAAAAGTGTGAGTAAAAAAAAATTCACTAAAAGAGATAAAATAGTTGAGGGTTTTGAATAATTTTGTATTGCTTGTTTTTCCTACTTCTCAAAATAGATATATAGATATATATATATTTGTTTTTAGAATAATGCTTGGGACCCTCTTTTGGGGGTCACCCCCTTTGCCACATGGCGGGTGGTGATTGGAGGAGCAGGGAAAAAAAGAAAAAGAAAAAGAAAATGTAACCAATGAGAAAGAGAGGGGGTCAAAGAGGATGGGAGGAAAAAGGGGATGAATCATTGTTGTTGTTTTTAATGGTTTTTTTTTCCTATTCCATTTGACATAATTTTTTTAATGGTTTTTAAGGTGGGTTTTTGACCTTTTTCATGTGAAGCCAAAACGAATAGAAGTTAATAAATAAATAAATAAAAATCCTCAACTTAATTTCAAAAATTAACTAAAATGTGTTTTGGCTAGCGTAACGTCTCTCCAAAGATTCACCAACATTGTGTACACCCCCCAAAAAAAAAATCTCAGCCCCCAACCCACGCATCTCGCTCTCGCTATCTCTCATCTCTCTCGACCACTGTTCACGCCGGAGAGAACACCACTTCTCTCTTTCTCTCTTTCTCTCTCTAGACTGTAGTGTAGTGTTGTTCTATATTTTATACATTTTTCTACAAAAAATGTGGAATCCTCCAAAGACAAATTTTGGGGTTTTGAGCTGTACTGGAATTTCTTGATATTTTTGCAGGTTTTTTTGGCTATGCAAATGCTAATGGAGTTTCTGGGCAACTCTCTTTCTTGATAGAAAAAAAATGTGAGGTGATTCCACCCCTCAATCTCTGGTTTATATGTGCAATGATGGTGGCTGCTGTTTCTGGAACAGCTTCAACAACAAACCCTCAAAACCCCAAAACCCCTTCCCAAGATTCAACCCAACAACAACAACAACAACTCAACCCTAGAAGACCTCCATTGTTGCCCTCTGAAAGAGACAACAATGAAGGTCCCAAAAGACCCAAATCAAAGCAAGTCTCTTCTAGATACATGTCCCCTTCTTCTTCAACTCCTAGAAGATACCCTTCTCCTCTAGTTTCCAGAAATTCGACTCCTTTGTCGAATAAGCCCTCTCCGGCGCCGCCGAAGCGGTCTGTTTCAGCGGACCGGAGGCGGCCCGTGGCGGATCTTCATTCGAAACTGGGCAATGTCGGTGAAGTGTCGGCGGCGACGAAGCTTCTGGTGACTTCTACTCGGAGCTTGTCGGTTTCGTTTCAAGGGGAAGCTTTTTCGCTGCCGATTAGCAAGACTAAGGTGGAGAATTCGAAGCCCAATTTGAGCAATGTGAGGAAGGTTACGCCGGAGCGAAAGAGGCCTAGTACTCCTCCTTCTAGAGGTGGAGATCAGGTAGCGAATTCGAAGCCGATTGATCAGCACCGGTGGCCAGGTAGAACCCGGCAACCGAATTCATTGTCCACGAGTTTTGATTTCACTGAGGATAATTGTAATAATAAAAAGAAGTTGGTTGGATCTGGGAATGTAATTAGGGCTTTGAAGCAATCTATGATTGATGAGGGTAGGAGGGCATCTTTTGATGGTAGATTGAGTCGTGATTTGAGCAATGCTGAATTATTGAAAGCAATTCAACATGGCCCAGATGGTAGTAACTCAGTGAATGAGTCCTCTGTGGTGAATGATCTTAGTGTGTCTGATACAGATAGTGTTTCTTCTGGTAGTACTACTTCAGGAGTTCAAGAATGTGGTGGGGTTGTGAGGGGGCGAAGTGGGCCTCGTGGGATTGCGGTTTCAGCGAGGTTTTGGCAAGAGACGAACAATCGGTTGAGGAGGTTGCAGGATCCGGGTTCACCATTGTCTACGAGTCCTGCGAAAATGGTAGTCCCACCTAAGTTTACGCAATCAAAAAAGTTCCCAAGTGACAGCCCATTGTCGTCTCCACGAACAATGTCATCGCCTGTTAGAGGAAGTATTAGGGCTGCATCACCAAGTAAACTTATGGCATCAGTGGGTTCATCACCGTCAAGGGGAACGCTTAGTCCATCTCGGGTCAGAAACTCGATTAGTAGTAATTTTGGTGAGACCCCTTCGGTTCTCAGTTTTGCTGTTGATGTTCGAAGGGGGAAGGTGGGGGAGAATCGCATTCTCGACGCGCACTTTTTAAGACTCTTGTACAATCGGCACTTGCAATGGCGGTTTGTAAATGCTAGGACAGAAGCTACCTTGTTGGTGCAGAAACATAGTGCAGAGGTAAGGTATTTTGAATTATGTTCTATTATTCTAGATGGATTGAATTTGATTTATGATTCTTGATATAATTTATGGCCTGTGTGGATGGGTTCTGTTTAGTTCTTGTTCATCGTATACTTTGTATTCATCATCCTCATTGATGGTATATCCTTGATGTAACTAATGATCATGGTAGAATCATAAGAGATTATTGCAGAATTAACTATTTTTCTAGTCAAAACCTTGTCATCCCATGTGTCTTGTGCACACTTTACATTCTCACTTGAACATATAATTCCAGGCATAGAAGTGAAGAGGCCTCATTGTTGATTCTTTAACAGCACCTCTATGCCCATAACGTTAACGGGCGGTCTGCACTTGTAGGAAGAATAAAACTAAGAAAATTAGATTAACACATTCAAGCAGCTTGCTCATTTTTGTTAATGTTGATCGTACATAGTTGATATAATCAGACTAATTGGTTGTCTTGAGACATCTTTTAGTTTACATCATTGGATACTGTTAGATGTGTGCTTGGAATTTATTTATTTTTTGATAAATAGAGCACTTGGAAATTTGAAATCTTGGTTTGAAATTCTTATCTCAGACGTTGGAAAGAAATAAAATGCAGGATAAAAGAAACCTGCAAGATGGAGACAAATGTTCTAGAATTAAACAACTATTTATTATGATGGAAAAGTTTGCGAATTTGAGGCAGGTGGGTAAATTATTTACTTAATCAAATTCCTGCAAGCAGAAATGAATTAAATGGGTTCTGATAAATATAAGCACTACACGCAAATTGTGTTTATGAGAAATCATGAGTTAGATTAGAGAAAAGATCTTGTAGTGTTCCTTCTAGGGTGGTCAAGGAATACCTCAACAGTTAGAGAAATGATAGTGTTCCTTCTAGGGTGATCAAGGAATACCTCAATAGTGTACTTGAATTGATGGACAGATCAGCTGACTGCTAGAGAGTTAGAGCAAGCTTTCCAGATGGCTTTAGCCTAATTTTCAACCTAGGATGCTCTATTATCACTAAGAAAGAGTCAATAAACATTGGTCTTTACTCTTTCATTTGTGGAGGACCCATATTCCTTTACTTCAGATCATTCAGTATCCAATTCGCAATGGCCTTACATTAGGGATTTGCATTAAGCATTTTATCTTCTTGCTTTAAGTTTAGGACTGACTGCTTTCTGATTTTTGCCATGTCTTTAAATTTGTGTTCAGCTCTTTGTGGCATGCCTCATATTGAAGATTTGGTTCTATGGTGCATGGTACTTGTTGATTATATTGTTTAAGGGGCTAAATTTGGAGAAAAACTCTAAAGTTAAAGGGGTTTGTTTAGCATAAGTTGGGATAAAATTGAATACATAACATAATTTTTGTAAAACTAGAAATACAAAAGAAGTAGTGGAGATTGAAGGCCAAAAGATGCCAAGGGTTTGCTGTCTATAAGATTAGGGGTGAAGTTACTCATGGAATGAAAACGGGGTAAATGAATGAGGCTTCCAGTGTATAGCGTGATTGTTGTATACTCCACTCCTGAAGTTAAATTGAAAATTCTATAAAACGACTACAAGATCAACCATGCTTTAAAGATGGACTGCTTGGCTGTTGGAAAATAATATAAATCAATGGGCATGATCAAAATGTGGATGTTAAGATGTAATACGTGTTAAAGGAGAAAACATAAAATTAAAGATGAATAAATTTGTTAGATGATAGAACTGGTACCTATTGGAGAATCGAGATATGCAATAAAAATCTACAATTGCACTTGGTGAGAAAGTGTGAGATTGATCACATCTACACTAATTCCAGGGGAAGAGGAAGACCAACTAACCTAGATTGATGTAGTACTAGAAGATATGGTAGCATGTTGTTTTATTGAAGTTATGACCTTGCTATAGCGAAATGACATAACAAGGTTCATATACCAACCCCAAAATACTTGGGACAATCTGTTCTTGAGTTTAGTTGAGTTCTTGCAGCCATTGCATGTGTTAACTCAAGTATTCTTGCCCTTACTAATGAAATTCTCGTGGGCTCTTCAACCTCTCTGTCTGTTTTCATTCACACTGCAGAGACATTGATCATCAGCGAGGGTTAAAGAGTAAAGAGAGTCTCTCCATTATCTGGCAATTCCTCTCATTTGTCAGTTGAGATAACTAGATGTATGCTTGGCGCGTTTCAAAGCTATATTTATATTGTATGCATCAATCTGAAGTAAAAGACATGACTGGAGATACTTCCATCCACGTGCCAATTGGATTTGTGTTCTTGTTCTACAATTCCCATCATGCTACTGAAAATGATGGGGGAGACAAAAACTAAAAACATGAAACTGGATTTGAATCGTGCATGCCTTAGTCCTGTTATTTTCTTCTCAAAGATTGGAGTTCTAATTTACTTAATTAAATCCGCAATTTTTTTTCCCCATCCCTAAATCAGGCTTTTGTAGCTTGGTTATGCTATTTTAATATAGGGTAAATTACAAACGCACCCTTTGAGATTTCCTTAAATTACAAATTGCCCCTAAGGTTTCTAATTTCATAACAAATAGGTCATTTTATTAATAAATTATCAAGTTAATTAATAATTTTTAATAATGTTAAAATTTTATTTTAATTAATAATTTAGATAATTTTATTATTGTATAGGTGAACAGTTAGAAATTTCACTTTTTCAATTAATTCTGTGAAATGAAAAATTCTGACAGGGAGGTATTTCTAATTTTCCAAACCACAGGGGGCAAATTTGTATTTTAAGCAAACCCCAGGGGGTGTTTTTGCAATTTACCCTTCATATATAAGGATTTTGGACATTTTCAAATTTTTTCAGTCCCTTGGCGCCCTTAACAACCCAATTGGAATGAAGTGATGGAGCCTTGTTAAATAGGCTTGGTTGGCTCTACTCTTTTACACCTCGTGGATAAGTCCTGAGTTCCCATTGTTACTAGTATTTCACTGAAACCTTAGTAGTACATTCCAATTTTGCATATCTGTTTAATTGTGTGGTCATTGTTCTTGATGCTTGAACTTGTTTGTACTGTCCACAAAAAAATTTGGTCACCTGGCGTATGTGGATGCTGTGCTAAGATGAGTTACTCTGTTGCTGAAGGATAAAAATAGCATTATGTAGTGTCAATGTTTTTATTAGCTAAAATGGTTTCCTTTGTACCAGAAAAATATGTGGAATGCGTGGATAACAATCTCAGATCTTCGTGATTCAGTCACCAAAAAAAGGCACCGGTTACAGTTGCTGAGGCAAAAGTTGAAGCTAGCCTCCATTCTCAAGGGACAAGTAAGATTTGTTTGTGGCTTCATTCTTTCTGCAATACTGAATCCTGCTGCAACTTATAAGTTGAAAATCTTTGTTTGGCTTTGCAGTATATTTGATCTCCTTGGTATCATTTTTCTGAACCACTTTCAATATGAGAACACTTTAGGATTAATATCTAGTCACACGTTTTTGTAAATTGGAAGCGGAAGTTGAATGCATATCACCCTCGTTTACTTAAGAAAGATTAGAGTTGCATAATGAGTCCATCGCTGGTTTAGGTTGTAAATTAGGTTCAACTCTTACAAAAATATATTTTAGAATGCACAAGACACGAGTTTCAAATTTTAGTGACAAAAAAATTCTTTACTAGGTCTACATTATAATAAGTTATGTCATAACTTGATTTCATTAGCTATAAATTGAATTAAGTAGGCTTAGGATATTGTTAATATGGGAAAGCTATAAAAAATTTGGGTAAGCCTTTAAATAATGTTAAGGGAGCGATGACATGGGTACTGTGTTCTTTTATTTGGCAAATAGGACCCTATTTTTGTTTAATTTCATAATGTGTTAAAAAAAAATTTACTCGAAAAGTACTGGACTGGAATGCTTAGCTATATTCATAGGAGAAGTTCAGTCCCAAAACAAACATTTAAGAAATTCAGTGCACTAGAACAAAATTGTTTCAGGTTCTTGCCTTCTTTTCAAATGTTTGAAGCATTGGCTTTTATGGTGAGAATCTTCTACAGTTTCTGTGCATTTATCTGAGGGGTGCATTGTTCTCTTTGACATGCATTAGGCTTTGTGTAAATATAATTCCAGGTTCTCTGTATGGCTGTAAGCTTATTAATCAATTGAAAATTAAATATAAATTACTAAGAAATTCTGTTTGAACTGTGATTCCACACTTTTGCTGGTAAATGAAGTCTGATGTGCACTTGGATTAAAAAAAAAAAAAAAAATTGAACAAAAATTGAGTATCTTTTAATTGAGGTCTTCATTACAATTATTAGACTACATTATTACTTCAGGATTTTCAAATTGGGTGTTAGTTGGATATATTCCTTCCATTAGATTACTGTAATCTTGTTTGAAAAGTCACTCTAGTAAAGATAGAAGCAGAAAGAGGAAGAACAAAGGATAAGAATGAAAAAGGAAAAAGAGATAACTTTATAAGATCTTGGTTGAGAAGTCACTTCCAGAAAGCTAGGAAGAGTAGAGGAAGAACAAAGAATGAGAATGAAAATGAAAGAGGAACAGCAAAGAATAAGAATGAAAAAGTAAAAGGAAAATCAACAAAAATACTGATAAGTGTAGAATCACAGGGCTAGCCAGCAGTTCTCGGGAATTCACACATTCAAAAGTTATTGAGCAGTTATGATATGCGATGCTTGGTTAGAGTTTTCCAAAACTCTTTTCAGAAAATTCTACTTTTGTAATTTTTTTTACTTTTTAGACATACCTAACATAAATATACCTAAAAAGTAAAAAATTTGTGAAAGAAATCTTTTAAAAATTCACTAAATACCAAAAATACAAAAAAATACGAGAATTCAGTACATTTTTTGTATTTTTATGTATTTATTAATTTTTAAAAATATTTTTTCACAAATTTTATACTGTTTAGATACATCTAAATAAGGTGCATCTAAAAAAGTTAAAAAAATGTTTAAAATTTTAAAAATTTTCACTAAAAACAAAAAAACATGAAAACCAAAAAACTTAGTTTTCAAAAAACTTAATTCAAAAAACTCAAACCAAACACACTGATTACTTTTTCACATGTTAAAAACATGAATGTTTGCTTCCTTACAGTTGCTAATTCTAGTTGACTGAAGTTTAGCTTTTGGTATTACTCCTATTCTTTGTTAAGTTTTCCTACCAACTAACTCTCCTCAACCCTGCTGTGAGCAGGAGCCCTTGTGCACTGTGTATGACTTCTTGTTTTTTTATTTGTTTATTGTCCATCAAAAAGTTTGAATAGAGTAGGTAAAGAGAATTCTCCAACATCATTTTGTCCTTAGATGAGCCTTATATTGACATTATATGACCAATAAATTTGTACTGAAAAAAAAAAGAATCATCAGGTAAGGCTTGCCTTAGTGTCCCTGGTGGCACAAAGTCATGGAAACAACCTCATCAAAAATAGGAGTAAGACTGTAAATCTTACTCTCTCAATACCTCACTTTAGCGGGGGTCTCTTGTATTGGGTCGTCCTTTTTTTTTAATAAAAAGAACCATCTGATGGGAAGACTTCCTTCTATTGCAATTTGTGTATTTGTTTTAGTTATTTTACATAATAGGCATTTGGTATTGAGATGGTCGGTCATGGGCATTGGGAAGATGGTAGGAACTTCAATGACCAAGGATTGCTGGAGACCGAGGAAGAGAGAACCAAGGCAGCCTTAGACAAAAAGAGGGTGGTAGTGAGTGATCTGAGTCAATAGAGTTACGGAAGATGATAACAAGAGTTGTGTTGTGTTTAAAGTGCATGGATAGTCCTTTTTATAAGCTTCAAGACTGTTCGAGGTCAACACCCCTATGGACAGTTGGCCATTTCTCCTTGGCTCAACAGAGAAGATGTGTATCAGGCCTATCATTGCTTCGGATGATTCAAACCTTGGAGGCTGTATTATGGGAGTTGCAGAGTAGGTATGATATGACGTATGTGGTAATGATACATTTTCAAGGTGCCAGGTGTCGGGTCAATGCCCCTCTCTCTAAGACCAGTCAAGGAGAAGTTGCTTCCCCTTGGGGAGCAAGCTAAACAATCCTGATAAGCCTTTGATCCTAGCCTCCAATCCATAATTCTCCAATGATCCTGAGTAGTGTTGATTGGATGCCTAAGCCCTTCTCTACAATAGGTACCTGATACCTCTGCTCCGTTGAGCCAAGGAAAGCTGGCCTCCTGTCCACAATCTTCCAATGATCCTAAGTAATAGATGCCTAGGTCTTGCTACCAGCCTAGGGCCCTAGGATGTCAGGGGGCTGAATGCATGGGAGAGTCATGGCAACCCCACCATCCCGCCACCCCCAAACCCTTGCCCCCACCATGCAGCCATTGTAACACCACGACTGTAAAAACCTTCCCATCATAGAGAGAAAAGAGTTGTTGGTGCAGTCTCAATCTTGATTTGCCGGAAGAGAAGATGCAAATCTAATCCTTTCACAGCTTGCACTAACTCAACAGGACAGTCACACCATTGTTAGGGACTTGGATCAAACCCTCAACATCTTGATTGGATTCGGCCAGCGTCAAATTCACAGAAATTGGTCCTTCCCTTGCCCTATCAAATCTTCCAGCTACGGTGGCCCAACTAGTGATTTTTCTTAAAAAATGATCCTGTGTGGCTTTGGTGTCCAATAGGGGATAATGGGCTGTGGATGGGGGTAGGATAGGAGGCAGTGGGGAAAGGGGATGTGACAGTGAACTAGGAAACAAGAACCACAAGGATTCTGTTTTGGAGACGCAAGAAATCGCTTATCAAAGGACATTTGTTTGAAGGTCCATGACCGTTTCAAATGGTGAACACATCGGTCATGAACAATGCATAAAATAAAACAAAACAGTAAGTCAAACATTCAAATGGGCAATACATTGGGAAAAGGTTTTGAAAACAAAAGACCCTGTGCATTTGAACAGTACACCTCGCATTCAAATGTGTAAAGTACTGTTTCAAACCTAATTTCAAAACAGGCCATTGCACTATGTCCAAAAACTAAATATATTTGGTCCTAAGGTCAAGCCCATTAGTTTATTAGGCGATAGTCTAACACTAAACTATCTAAGGTCATGAACTTAACAATAACAAGCCCAAATAGGCTAAGTTAGATAAAACTTTCTAAATGATGCTAATGCAATGCATGAGTTCACAGAGTGTAGAGTCCGTGTATCTGATCAAAGCTTGTACATGAAGTCTTTCATCTCTAATCTTCACTATGAACATGTTCAATACTAAACTAAGCTAAAATTAAAATTTATAGACTCAATATTTGGAAACCAACACAAAAATGACTAAGAGGTAACTAGACATTTTTCTTCACATCTTCTCTAAAAGTGACCTCTTTAAGATCATCTTATAATGCATGTCTTCTTTCCATGAATTGATTGCTATTGTTTTTTATATTCATATAAAAACATTACACATTGAAGTTGGTGGTTGGATGCTCCATGTTGCATTTATAAGCACCTCTTTTTAACAATGGAAGAGTTAAATCAATACCTTGCATAGTGAAATTGATAGAGTTAAAGTGATGTAGGGCGAGTAGGGATTACTTTCCTACAAGTAGTGAGCCCGGTTTAAGTATACTGACAGCAGCAACAATAGATTTATAAGGCTGTATTTGGTGGGGTTTTGTGGCTGCAAAAGTATTTTAAAAAAATAGGAGTTTAAGGGTTTGTAAAAATGTAGGATTTTGGGAATGGAAATACAAGTGTTTAGGGGATGGGGGGATGTTGGGTGGCTGTTCTAAACACTGTGAATAGTGAAGTAAACAATAACCTTGCTAGAGAGAGAGAGAGAGAGAGAGAGATGCTTCACACTCACAAGGGATAAGCCAATCACACAAACGCTATCTCAAATTTTCATAATAATAACTCTTCTCCTCAATCATTGAGATTACACATATATTTATAGACTAAAGACTCTCCTAATTCTATAAGGACTATAACTCAAATTAAGAAACTAAAAATATTTAGCAACTAATAATATTCTAGACCAACTATATCTTTCAATTCTACTTCAATCATAATAGGAAATTTTATTAACTTCTAATTCTACTCCAATATCAAAATAAGAAACTTGGACTTTTGACCACTAAAATTATTTTAGATATGATAAAATCCATATATAATGACCCATTTAATAACTTGACCCAAAATAAAACCCATGGACAACCTCTACAACTCATGTCTAACAATTATTGGAATTACCATTATATCCTTAATTACTTAAACCTACTATAATGACATGAGTACTTGAAATCATTCCAAATCTTTAATTCTTGATGTCCTAAGTATGCTTTATGTGAAATTCCAGATTTGCTCTTTTTCTTCTTTCCATGATCTTCATCATGAAGGTAATATAACTATACAAGTCAAAGCCTACGTGGCATGTTCATGACATCTCCTTGGCATCTCCATAAGTATGGCGCTACCCATCAACCTCATGACGTGACATGTGGACCAACTACATATCTCCACATGCTCTCCTTCAGGATCGAGCTAGGCCAGCCAAGTCTAGCGCACATAATGCCATAACCTTAAGCTTGGGCACTTATGAATGGGGCATTCTCCAGACAATCTAGAGCAACCCTTTGGCTTGACCAGGTACTCTTAGCTCAGGCATGTCATCCTTTACTTGCCGAGCATTTCCTTTCCCTATCTCCCTTGCAACCATTAGACATATTCACTTTATTAAGTAGGGATACTTTTAGAGCGGAAACAGTGGCTTCTTACTTGATCAATATATTCATCTATGGAGAAAAGGCCATATCTCCATAAATATTAAGATGCATCAAGCACGGATGTGCGTTGTTATAGTCTTCCCCCATCGATAAGTACAGGTGAAAATTGCTGCACCGAGCTAGCCAATACTTTGGCACACCACCAAACCCATCAAATTGTGTATAGCGAGTAGCAAGGTTGTTAAAATCAGGATCCTATGTAGGATCGGTGAGAGGGTCTGGTGGATCAGATCGAGGATCGTAAGATCCTACTTTCTATTAAAAAAAAGATAAAAATTAAAATTAAAATGATATATATTAAAAATAAGGTGAAAAATTATAAAATCTACGATCATACTTGCGATCCTACCTACGATCCTATACGATCCCATACGATCCTACACGATCCCATGCGATCCTACACGATCCTACTTGCGATCCTATTATAACATCGATCCTACAACGATTTGGATCGTTTTGACAAAGTAGGATCGTACGATCCTACGATCCGGATCGCACGATCCTACGATCCGGATCGCAATTTTAACAACCATGGTGAATAGGATGTTTGTATCACCAAGCTTTGAGCGGTTGTCATTTCCCGTTGGTTCACAAGACATATTTGCTATCACGCTCTCTCCTAAGTTCGCCTCAACTCTGTCCTCAACCACTAATATTTTCTGGTAATCTCATTGCCATCATCTTCCCATATGACACCACCCTAATTAGCTCACCTCCGTTCATCCACTCTATTCCTCCTATCTATCAAGATTGTGGACATGTATGAAACCATAATTCTATATCTTAGTAGCAAGAACTTCTACTAGTGTGGTGTTTAACTTGTAAGAAATTGGCTTTATTTTAGTACTTTCTGTTTACATTATTTATAAATATATTTAACAAAGACAATTTTATAGTTGATATCAATCTCTAATATTTATTTATAACACATTACAACTAAGCAGAAAGAATATTTGTTATAATATATTTAATATATAAAATATGTATACACTATCATAGGTACTCCCAATTTAAAAAACTTCTATATGCCCTTGTTCCCCGGCCCTCGTTTCATGCAACTAAGTTCTATATTTCTAGGATTTCTAGATTCCATAAATAGAATTTGTTTTCCTTATTACAAAAGTTTCCTTGATCTTGAAGTATTTCTTTTCTTTTGAAGGTAAAATTTTATAGAACTACTATAAGTCCACCGATGCTTTACTGAACAAAATGTTAGGCAACTAAGAAATAACATAGTTATAAAATGAGTGTAGTGATATATGAATGTTTGATGGATTTGTGATAAGACTAGGAAAGATAGACAAGTACAATGAAGATTTATGGATGAAATGGTAAGGAAGAGTGATATGATCACTATAAATGGCAATGAAGGGTAGACCTAAACTGATCTTAGTTGCAGGAATCATCCTAACATGTGACGAATCTTCATAAGAAACGCGATTCCGCATTTCTTAGAAAGAAACGTGCAGGAATCGCGTTTCCGTAGAGAGAGAAACGCGATCCTGGCCAAGATGGGATCGTAAAGGGGAGAGAGAGAGAGAAACCCTAACCTTCGACCTCGACATGAGAGAAGAAAGGGCTTCGATCATCTTCGTGACTCTCGCGATCATCTTCGTCAGTCTCTCGATCGTCTTCGTCTTTGTCAGTCTCTCGATCGCGTCTCCTCTTCATCTCTGTTCGTTGTTCCTTCACTCTCTCTCTTCGTCTATTCTGTGGAAGAAACTGAGATCATATATAATATATAATATATAATATATATAATAAATATAATTTATCACATATTATATATGTAATAAAAAAATATTTAATTATTATTTCTTAAAATATCATATATAATAATAATTTTTGTAAATTATTATTTCTTAACTTTTTAACATATAATAAATAAAATAAATCATCCAATTATTTAAAAGAAATCTAATTAAACCATATATAATAAAAAAAAATTATAAATAAAATATATAATTTTTCTTTTTATTTATTTTAACATAATTTATTATTCCTTATTTATTATAATTTTTTATTTATAATTTTTATGTATTTTCTTGTTTTGTTCCTCTCTTCAAACTCAAGTTGGTTAGTTTCTATCCTCCTTGAGTTTGCGGGGGGCTGTTAGAATTTACCAATTTACTCCTCCACCTACCATCTCCACTAGCACCCACTTCACCTACCACCTCCACTACACTACACCTACTACCCAAACCCTCTCCTATATAATGCCACTCTGATTTGTTCAAAGTAACGGCGCCGGAGGCACGACCCGGCCAATTAAGACCAGGAGCGCATCGCCGGCAGAAGGGACGAGACGACCGGTGCACACCTGAGGCGGACCGGTCGACCCAACCCAAAAAATACATCAATTTTAACAGCCCTTGACAGAGCATAATGCTGAAAAGGTATTCATATTAGTAGACCTCACTTGATTGAGATACAAGGCTTAGTTTGGTAAAGAAGTGCCCCTCTTTTTCTTTACCTCCATAGCAGTTGATTGTTTCATGGTTTTTCCCCCCTTTTCATTTTCTTCTGGAAGGGAGCTTCTCATCTGGACCTTGTACATTCTTTTCCTTATAGCCAATTTTGATTTGCAATTCTGCAAAACAAGGATCCAAAGGTAACATGGCAGCAGAATTTACTTTAGGGGAAAGGTGAAATGTTAACAGTTTAACACCCGACAAGTTTCTGTTAGAGAGTTTTGTCATGATTGGTATTTGCAACGATTGCTTATGAACATTTATTTTGCTGGGTTTTGATTGATGATTTTTGTTACACAATCCATAACCATATCTGAACTATATCATACTTGTTAAATATAGATAACCTGTTTGGAAGATTGGGCTTCTTTAGATAAAGACCATTCTCTCTCTTTGCTTGGAGCAATTGAAGCTTTGAAGGCTAGCACTCTTCGTCTTCCAGTTGTTGGAGGAGCAATTGTATGTGTGTTTGGTTATTTTACTCTCTATTATTTATTTAGTATTATCTCACCTGTCAAGAGTTGAACAGACTCTGACCATGGAGCTTGACAAAATCTGCATTTGCCTGTCATTTTAACAGGCTGATGTCCAAAGTGTTAAGGATGCTATTGGTTCAGCAGTCGATGTGATGCATGCAATGGCATCCTCAATATGCTCGCTTTTGTCGAAGGTAATCTTATGTGCTCATTTCTATGGCTATGTTTCATTTTTAATTCGACTAATATTGTGAATGACATGCTCTGTAAAGACTAGGCAATTGCTCCACTAATTTCTATTGGTCCCTGCTCTGTTTTGGATTATTACATATTTGATAGAAGTTTCTGAGATTTGAAATTTTGAGATTGACAATTATAATGTGTCCTCGGGGTATACATACAGTCATGATTTAGTTGACGTCATTATTTTGCATTCCTTTGAAATCACTGAGTTTTTAATAGCCGTATAGGGAGGGAATCACAATCAACTCACTGAACCAATTTGCTTAAATAAAATCATTGTGTTTGATTATTTGCTTGAAAAGATGAACAAAGCGAACGGAAATGATTTTACTCCCCTTCCGCACACCATAAAAAAACAATCGTTAGGCATGCCATTCTCACTGTAAAACTTGTAGAAGCCTGAACAAAAATCCATCCAATTTTCCAAATTATGCAAACAAGGATATAATTTCTCTCTTTGTAACCTTATGGTGTCGAGTCCAACTACCCTGCCTCCATTTTTTGGCACAAGAGACAGCCTTGGAAATCGCCATTATTAATGAGGTTTTGAAATCTTGCCTTCTAGTGTTATCTAAGGCCACAACCAAAAGGGCACAAACTTTGGCTTAAAATCCTACGTCCAAATTTCAGAGACAATGTTGCCTATAAAACTCCTTAACTTACAGACCCAACAGCACCCATCAAGCTAACTACCATATGGACGAAGCCAACTCATCAACTAGGAAGTCTGTCTAGGAGACAGCAGATCTTTAATTCATTTTGATGATTACTCTTAAGAAATTTTGCTAGTGTGACAGATGGTGATTATGAAATACATATATAAATGCATGTATTGTTATGCATATGAAGACTTGAAAACATAAACACACACACACAGAGGAATGGCAATATGGACTAATTGATTCTTCCTTAAATTGGAGGCTGGTATTCGATGGCCATGGTCAACATGTTTTGTTTCTAAAGTGAAGATGAAATTCGAAATGTATGTGGGGTAACATGAAGTCATGTGTGTATAGTTTCTGTTGGGGTTTCTATAAGTCGCCTGCTGGTTTTGTGGACCTTTATATGGACTGAATGTGCATGTCACCATGGGAGTGTGTCCAATGGCGTAGCCAGGAATTCCCCTCAGTGGGATCATTCAAAGGGAGAGAGAGAGAGAGAACAAATGAAGGAATGCATCAATGGCAATGCAACAATGGTTGTTAGAGAATGAAGCGTTGATGGAGCAAATGAATAAACGAACACAGAGCTAAAATTGACACCACTAGATAATGAATAGCTCCAAATATATGTGATATTTATCTAGATTCATTGGGGTCATTTTGTTAAAATTGACACCACTAAACAATGAATAACTTCAAATACTGGGGTCATTTTGTTAAAATCCAAAACTATTAAACAAAATTTCATATATATTTAAACAAAATTTGAAAGTTCAGTGGTGTCAATTGACACCACTGAATTACACATAGCCCCGCCCCTGAGTGTGTCCATATTTAAGACTCCTCTTATCCTATAATCATCATAGGATGTAGGAAAATGGCCAGGTAATCATTGTGGCCAACTTTGCTTTTATCATTAACTACTGGTAAAATAAAGTTCCAATGCAAAGTGGCTTTTTAGACATGGTTATTTGCTTTTGATTTTTCAGTGTGATTAAAGGAACAAATATAAAGTTGAGAGAGATTTGAACCGAATATCAGCTGAAAGCTAAGTTTAGCCAAATGTTATATCTTTACACCATTCATCATTTTCAGGCGGAGGACATGAATTCTTTGGTGTCTGAACTCTCAAAAGTGATTGCCAAAGAGCGTGCTTTGCTTGAACAATGCAAAGATTTCTTGTCCGTGTTAGCAGCCCTGCAGGTATATAAACCATCGGTTCTGTTCATAAAAAAAATTCCGCTTCATCCACTGATGATAATTTTCCCATTTTCAAAATTTCGATAACAGGTTAAGCACTGTAGTTTGAGAACGCATATATTACAACTTAATCGTGTACCAACAGCCTGACAACATGTGTGTAGAATTGATCTTGTGTGACTCTCTACTTTAAAAAAGCTAACTTTATACTAGAACTCTTCGACCTAGCAGAGGTGGCTCGGCAGGCAATAAGCGTAGACCAAATGACTAGTTTTTGGCTTTGGATTTTTGGAAGCTGTTGAGGTGTCATGTATTGATTTATCTTTGTATCCAAAAGATTCATAGGAAAATGAACTTTTTTCCTCCTGCTAATCAGCTGTAACAATTCCTTCTTCCCAGAATAGGGAAACTTGTGTACATGTATATATGTAATACTTGGATCATTGTTATTTATTAGTAAGTTCATTTATTAGTAAGTTCTTGGTTAAATTCTTTGTTTTATCATTTGAATAAGCTCTTGTTCTGATTGCTACACCACATTGGCATGGTTACCATAGAACTTTTCTTATGTTTGGATGACAAGAATCTTGAGGGAAATGAGAATCTCATTATTGAGAATTTTATTACTAGTAACAAAATTTATGTGTTAATTATGTCCTTTTGGCCTTACTAAAAGAGAAGTCGGTATAATTATGTCAAAATTATAGAATTTCTTGTATTTTTTTCAAACGCCAGGAGATGCTAATGTAATTTATCAAAATTTTAAACATTATGGGTCTAATTATTGTTTTACTCTTAAATGCTTAACATTCCTCTGAAAATCTAATATTCCTACAGGATATTCTTACGTAGTTTAATAATGTGATTCTGATTGAAATAAATAATTGATAATCACTTTCTTATTCCAATTCTTTCAAATGCTAAATTTATGGAGACGTGAAATTATGTTTGGTTTGACTTTGTAGAGTGATTTTGGGAAATTTTTTCTAAAAAACTTGTTTGGTTTGTAATTTTTCTAAAACAATTTCTAAATCACTCTCTCTCTTATACGTCAATCAATTACTTTTTCTCTCGCATACATCTACTCAATTATAACAAAATATCAAATTATTCCAAATTCTAAAACTACTTTCAAATTACACAACCAAACAAATCAAAAAAAATTTTAAACTCTCTCTTCAAAATAATTTTTAAAAACTACTCTCTCAAAACCAAACCAAACAAATATTTTTATTATCTGTTTTTTATAATCTAAACATAGTCTAAATTCTTGTTGAAACACAAAGGAAAGTTGCAGGAAGAAGACGAAATAAAAGTGGAGCTCACTATTTGACATGAACTGTTAGAATTTTCTTTTTGAGGACTTCAAATCACTATTTGAGATGAGTATGCAACAAACTGAAGGTTTTAAATTTTGAACTCATCCATTGCCTCAAGTTAGTCTGTTCAGTAATCATGTTGATGATCTTAAATCTCTCTGATTTGAAGTAAAGAAAGACACCACTAGTTCATGTCTCACAGTAGCAAGCCTTTAGGTACATATATATCAAATGAGTTCATGGTGGTTCACATTATTCGGATTCTTTCCAACACTTTTTTTCATCATGTACAACGGTCAAGAGGTTATTTAGTGATCTTACCTTAATGATTTACGTTATTCATTACATTATATTTCTAATGTTTTTTTAAACTAATACAAAAGAATTAGTTTTCACTGTTTTAATCAATAAGAATAAAGTTAGGGCACCACATAAATTTGACCAAACATCACTCGATAATTTTCCTCTGCAGTAAATTTGACTCCATAATAGTTGCAATTCAAAACAAAGATCAATTGTCAACCGACTCCTGGGATTATGGGAAACTGAAAGTTTAACTATAACACTTGTTTGATTTATTAAAATGAACTGTAAGGTAATAATGATTTTATTATATTATTCATTTTACATATAAAATTATTATTTTTAATTATAAAAGAATAATTATTTCACAAGAAGGTTAATAAATGATTGTTTTATTCTATTCTATTTCATTTTGCTATTTAAACCCTAGAGAGGTATTACTTGAATGCTAATGCGAGTTATTAGAATATCTCTAACAACTCTTTTATCATTAATTTATCAATTTTTAGATGTTCTGGGGAGTAAAATTCCAAAACTCATCTCGAACAATCTGCCTAATATATGTATGTATCCTCTAAAAATATGAAATTTATTTATTTCTTTTCTATCCTCTTCATGCTGTCTATACAATTGGCACATTAATTTATTTATAAATGATGGTTTTTTTTTTCTTTTTCTTTTTTTAAAGTTGGTTGATTTCTTTTTTTAGTTGATTTGAGAATTATGAGAAAAAAAAGTAAAATAATTATATTTTGTTGTTTAGTGAGCTAATTTAGCCCCAACCAACTTCTCAAACAACCCTTAAGCATTATGCCAATTAAATTTTTTAGAGTCATGTAATTATATCTTGGAAAGTGATTTTACAGACATAATTTGTATACATAAAGTGCATCCAAAATAATATGGTAATGACATTCTTATAATTATAAGGCATAATAATGTATTGTAGGTTTCGTCGAGTAGTATCTGTAATTCCATAACGAGATCACATTTATTTTTTAAAAAATAAGTAATTAGTATAATTTTAATAATTTTTTTAAAAATAAATTATAACTTGATCATGAAATTACGTATGTCTTATTAATTTATTTATTTTTATAAATAATATACTTAATGAATAATATAACATAACCAGTAACCAACTGCTAACACCTGCCGGTGATAGTGATAGTGGTGAGCGATGATTGGTGGTGGTGAATCTTGACATATCTTTCATATCTCCTAACATCCTCTTTTATTTTTGTTTTAAGGGTTTTTAGGCTCAATTTGAAAACTTTGCTAAAAGTTAAAAGTTAGTTTTGATCTATTTTGAATCATATCACTATTTTATTTTTATTTTATTTTATTTTATTTTATTTTAAAATTTTAAAAAATCAAAAAAATTAATCATGGTAGGCACTTTAGCAATAGTAGGATCATGGTAGGCACTTCAGCAGCAGCAGTTGTAGTAGTAGTTAAGGATTCTTTCTTTGTTGTAAGCCCTACTAGTAGTAGTAGTAGTAGTAAGTAGCCCCCTTTCGATTGGGACTGAGTGGCTCTGCTAACGAAACCTAAAAAGTCAACAATCTATGGCGCCTCGTAACTGCCCTTCTTTTTGTCTTGGCTGCAAGGAATTGCAACCAATTGGACAACATTTGTACTTTTTGGCTTCCCCAATTTCAACCCTCTTCATCAATTACGAGACTTCAGTTTTTTTTCTAAGACAAAGCATTTGACTTGTGAAGAATTTTTTATTATTATTCTTTTTAAGGTGTAGTTGTTTAGAAGTTTGAAAGTGTAAGAATGAATACACATAAATAAAATTCATAGAAACAAAATCATGCTAATAAGTCTTTTGCTAGCATAAAGAGAATGCTGCAAGTACAGTCCATTTTAATCTCAACAATCATGATATAGTCACATTTGATTCGTGGATGTAATTATGTCGGATAATTTAACTAAGACTTATTTTAAAAAGTAGGTTAAAAGTCACTTTCAAACTTTTAATCTATTTTGAATTAGGTTATCTCTCACATTTTTTACACATTTAAAAAAAAAATTTAAAAATCAACTTTTAACCATCTTTCGAAAACACCCTAAGGATAGATAATTTTTGAATAATATATCTACAAATATCATTTAGCATAAAGAGAATGCTGCAAGTACAGTCCATTTTAATCTCAACAATCATGATATAGTCACATTTGATTCGTGGATGTAATTATGTCGGATAATTTAACTAAGGCTTATTTTAAAAAGTAGGTTAAAAGTTACTTTCAAACTTTTAATCTATTTTGAATTAGGTCATCTCTCACATTTTTTACACATTTAAAAAAAAAAATCAAAAAATCAACTTTTAACCATCTTTCGAAAACACCCTAAGGATAGATAATTTTTGAATAATATATCTACAAACATCATTGTAATTATTTTAAAACAATAAATAGTGTATCCCAATAGGAAGGGGGGGAAAAAAATTAATCTCATAAATATAGGATGAGAGGACTTTGAAATAAGTTGTGATGAATCAAATGTGGGTTATGAGTATTGGCCAACTCAGGAATCACAAATGGTTCTTTACTAAAAGAATTAAACAGTTTTGTTAAGGAGTGTTTTAAGATATTTTTTTGACAGTTAGCTATTAATTTATTAGTTAAAAATAAGTTTATAAATAAATTTTAAAAAAAACACACACACACACACAAATGCTAATAGTTAGCTTGTTTGGCATTTTTTTTAAAGATAATTTTTTTAAGTGGCTAAAATAAACATTTTGAGGAGAAATAGATTTTTCAAATTAGTTAAACTTTTTTTTAACAAAATGAGTTTTCTTAAGGAGAGGTTTAATATGTTTTTTTTTATTAGCTAAGGTCCCTTGAAAAACTTCTCTATGATCATATCAAATAAATTTTAAAATTTCTCTGTGTTCAGGAAAAAATTTCTCCATATTGAATTTTTTCTGTGAAAATATTGAAGGATCCTAACTATTATGAAAATATTATATATCATTTATTATATAAAATCTTAATATTATGAATCTTAAAAAAAAATCTCCTAAATTTTTTGACATTTAGTGTTTCTTATTGACTATATTTTATTAGTAAATATTTTTTATGACAGTAGTTAACAAAATCTAAAAAATAATTAATTTATTTTAGAGATAATTACAAAAAAAATCTTAGAAATTTGAGTCTTCTAAAAAAATAAATTTTGAGTTTTTTATTTTATCAATTTAAATTCTAATCTTTTGATTTGTTTTTAATCTAAATAATTCACCTATTTTCATTAACTAAAAATCAATGGAAAAAGAGTATTTTAGTTATAATTATTAAACTAATGTAGATATATATAAAATATCTAAAATTCCCTTTTCATTTAATGATTAAAATATTTATTTTTCATCAATTTTATCTAACAAAATTGACAAATAATTTAAATTTAAAATAAATAAAAAATTTAAATTTAAATTAATAAAATTAAAAATTATTTTATTACAATAATCAAACCTTAATTTATTTTTTTTATATATATAAATTTTCTTTTATTTTATAATAATGCTTTTTGGTGGTAAAAGAGGAGTCGTTGGTGGTGCACAATGAGATAATATTTGAAAAGGTCAGTGTGAGTGACTGAATGTGAATGTGAGGTCCACATCAGACATGCATATATATCATATATGCAGCGACTCACAGCAGCAGCTAGAAAAGAAAAGCATCTGAATGGACCCCACCACACAAACAAAAGAAGACCCTTCCTTCCTATTGGCTAACTTGAGTGGCACCTATATATACATCTATTATATCTATATATGAAAAAACTTGATGCCGATATGCTGCGTTGCGCCACCACCAGTGGGCCCCACCTCTTTCCACCAATTGGCTGAATGGATAATGCAATTTGTGGGACCCTCAACCGACCATTACTATGGCAATAGTTTTTTTTTAGTTAATTTTATTTTTTTTTTAGCTATTTTAATTTAAGATTAAAAGTTTATTTGTTTCATTTTTTTTATTTATTTATTTTTGTAAAAGAAAAAATAAAATAATTATGATTTACATGTAATATTTTGTTTTATTAACGTATTTAACCTATTTTATCTTTTATACTTTTTTAGTCAAAAAGTTGGAGCCAAACAAACACTAATGGATTGTTTAGCATGTTCTAAATAAGTATATTTTTTGACTTGTTATTAAATTGGTTGGGTTTGAAGTGATGTGGTAGAAAGGTAATATGATTTAAATAAGATAATGTAACTCAAATAGGACAGTGACTTTTTGACTTTTTTAGGCTATGACAAATAATGCCTCATTTTGGCCAAAAAAAAACAAAAAAAGTCACATTTTTTTTATTTTTAGTGATTTTTTTTTTTCAAAATTATATCAATTTTTTTTACTTTTTGGCCCGTATTGTCAAGATGAATCTAAAAAATATTAAGTTTTTGAAAAAATTCAAAAAAAAAATCATTAAAAACGAAAATAAACAGGAAAAAATTGTTTATTTTGAATTATTTTTGTTTTTTGATTTTTTTTGAATTTTTTTAAAAAATTATAATTTGCAATTGGTTTTGTCATGAATCTAAAAATCCAAAGTTTTTTAATTAGTTTTATTCACAAAAGAGGTAGTTGTTTTTCGGTAGATTTTGAAAAATTTGGGTCTGAAATTTTGATTGATTCCAAAATAGCTTATCGTCATGGATTCGACATTAGCGTTATGGATCCAACATTGGACAAAACAATTCTGAGATGAAGATGATGGTGGAAGAGGCACATTGGGATCTATTCAATTCGAGTGTGGATTCATTAAGTAATTGAGAGTACACTTGTGTAATTTGTTTTTGTCTTCTTAGTGAATTATTTTGTGACTTTGGACCGTGATTTTTTTTTTATCAAAATTGGATACGCTTCAATTGTGATTTTTTCACGTTAAATCGTTATGTGTAATTGTCTTTGATTGAGATTATTATTTATTGTTTAAAAATTGAAACATAACCACAAATTAATATCTCAAGAATTTTTAAATTTTAGGAAGATGGTTAAAAGTTATATTTCAGTTTTTAACTCATTTTGAGTCCTATCATCTCTCATATTTTTTTACACATGTTTTCATAATAAGTTAAAAAAAATTTAAAATAACTTTTAATCATCTTTTCAAAACAACCTATTATGTAAAATAAGATATTACTTGGGAGGAGTGAGGGACAGAGTGAAGTGAGAGAACGGGGCTCCTAATACAACTAGAGAGAGAGGGAATGGGAGATTGAACAAAGTGAAAGAGTTATGAGCAAGAGGATGAACATTAAGGCCACGTTTGGTAAATGACTTTTTTAGTCAAAACGTTAAAAAATCACTAAAAAAGTCAAAAAGCTAACAACTCATACCAAAAAGTCAAAGATTCTCTTTTCTCTCTACTCTTTTGCACATCTTTTCGTAAAAAATCAAAAAATCATCTCAAACATACTAGTTTTTTTTAACTCATATTTTAATTAAATAACCAAAAAATTACTAAATTAACATGTTCCCAAATGAGGCCTAACCTTTTTTCATTACTTTTATTTTTACAAAATATATTAAAGTGGATTTTTTTAACACATTTTAATATTTCTATTTTAGCCCGCCATACACTGACTAATAAACCTTAACACACAAAATTAAGTCATATTTATTATTATTTTTGCTATTATATAACACACATTAACGGATACTATTTTAACAATTGTATTGAAAATTTTCTAAGGTTTCATCATAAAGTTGCCAAAAAAATATTATAAAAAATTTGAAGATTTGAAGTGACAAATTGGTGGACAAAAATAAAAGAGTAAATTAGCATCTTTGACGACTACCAACTTCACTAAATGTGAGGCTTTGGTGTAGAGAATAAAACATGAGCTAGACTTAAGGCATAAGAATTCAGGGCACGTGGATTCCAAAAAACACAAATTGATGTCAAGAAGTTCTTGATAACAAAAAAATATGACTATGATTTTCAAGGAGATCAATGCTTTATTGTCTATAGCAATTGTCAGATAACAACTGTGCCTCAAAAATATAAATAATTGCCTAATAAGTCCTATGTATATCATGGTGGGTGTTTGAAAAATTACTATTTTAATAGGTTAAAATTTTTGTATTCGAAAAAGTGATTAAATTTTTTTATAATTAAATGTGATATTTATAAAAAAAATTATTATGAATTTGATGTGATATTTTATCTTATTAACTATTTTAGTCTTTTTTTTTTTTTTTTTTTATGTGTGCCTATCAACTTCTTTCTTCTTTTTTTTCTTTTGTTAAATTTTCTAATATTTAGATAAAACGTTTATTTCTCTCCTCTTAATAATAAGTTAGCATACGGGAACGGGCTTGGTTCATTTTTTATTTTATAAAATAAGACACAAATATAAAAAATATATATAAACATTAATTTTACATTTTTATTTTTTAATGAGTATTATTTGTGCTCTTAAATTTAAAAAACACTTGCGGATATGGAGTAATTTCTTGGAAAACACAGAGAATTTCATTTCTTCATCCCAAAGTCACTGCCCATAATTAGTCAATCGGAAGAAAACAGTAGGGGAACCGGTTAGCCGGTAACTCTCATCTTTCTCTCCCTTCGTATACACAACAAGAGACTTGACAAATCAAGTGCTCCTTCTACAACTCAACCCCCCACCACAAAACTCGCCGGTTCTTATCACCGGGGAAACACTAAAAAAACAAAAAGCAAAATCTATTACACGTCAGCTCAGGTGACAGTCGATTCCGGTAACCGGTAAATTTTATAGACTCTCTCTCTCTTAGAAGAACAGTCTCAGAAGCTTTCCTTCGTTTCGTCCTCCCTGTAAAGTTTGATTATAGGCTGAACCACCGCTCTCCAACGTCGTCGTTTCCGATTCCTCCGACTTCGACGACGACGGCGTCTCCGCCCTCCGCTTCTCCGGGCGGCGATTCACTCTCCCGCCGGCGGTCTTCAAGCTCTGCTCCAGGCAGAGATCGAGATCGGCGATCGGTTGTGATCTCGCCGTTAATTCATTGAAATCCTTGACCTTACTAGCCGAATGCAGATCTAGGGATCCGAAGAAATCCATGCTTTTAGTATTATTATTCGAGGCGTCGTCAAATTCGTCCGCCGGAGTTTCGCCGGAAAACTCAGGAATCGGCCTTAAAACGCCGCCTCGGAGCACCGTCTCCACCGCCGCCTGACAAATGTGCCAGTTTCCCGTCCATAGAAGCCCCACCGCTCCGTTGATCGGATTCACAGTCCGTCCACAGGCTTCAAACAACAGAGACTGAAACAGAGCTGTGCACACAAATCGAACCTAATCATCAGAACCAACACAGTACACAAATACATATATATGTATATATATATATATAGAGAGAGAGAGAGAGAGAGAGAGAGGAAATTACGAGGACGTTGGGAGTCGGGGACGGCGGAGAGGAAGGACATGAGGCCGGCGCGGCCGAAGAACTTGGCGACGAAGACGGTAGCGTAAGCCTGAGCCTGAGGGGTCTCAATGCCCTGAAGAGATTGTCTGAGTATGCAATTCTCATTGCAACCTTTTCGAAGAACTCGACATCCACTGCAACTCATCCTCAACGATTTTTCTGAGTCAAAATCTCCAGCGCTCTTCAGGTAAGAATTCTGATAAAAAGCTGATTGAATTTTGTTTATTAGAGCTTGAAACAATCAACAATGGAGGAGGAGGAGGAGGAGGAGGAGGTTTTGCGGGAGAGCAGTGGAGAGGGAGGGAGATATATAGAGGAGGAGGGTGGGGTTTGCATGTGGAGTGGTAGTAGGGGAATTATTGGGGGATGGGATGTGGTGTGGTGTGGTAGAGTTTAACTCAACTATGGTTAGTTGGGGAACTAGGGTTGTTAATGGGGGTGGGATTGGGATATTGGAGTTGGTGGGACATATGTGTGTGGGTGGGGGTTTGCTTTTGGGGGTTCCAAAGTGTTTGGCAAGAGGGCGGCTCCGTGTCTCCGCGAACGGGCGGTTCCTCCACCGTTGGATTCTTTGGGCTTCTCTCCCCCCTCCCTTCTTCTTTTGCACCTCCACTCGCATTTGACTGCTTTTTCACGCGCGTGACGCCCACTTCGACCCACCAGCCTAGGCTAAGCCAAGCCGAGTTGAACTCATCCTGATTTTTATTTTAGGAGAATTATGAGTAATGTTAAAGATATTAATTTTTTTATTAAATAAATAACTAAATATCTTATAGGAATGTAGGATCAATAAAAGTGTGGGTTTACAGTGAGACATTAGATTATTTATTTAATAAAAAATTTGAGATTTTTTTCAAGAAATATTGATCAGTGGGTCAAAAGAAAAAAAAAATCTATATATTATACAACGACAAAAAAAAAAAATTCTAACTCATAAGATCTCTAACAGCTCAAAGTTCTCAATCCAAATTTCATATATTTTTTTATTTTTAAAAATTAAAAAACTCTTCTATTAACTAGTTTTTATTCAAGCAAAATAATAATAATAATAATAATAATAATAAAATAATTAATATCTAATTTATTAATTTCGAATAGAAAGTAGGTCAAATCTAAAAAAAACATAAAAAGTATATTAATTCATTTCAAAATTCAAATTTGGGGGTCACTAAATATGAAAAATAATCTATTAATTTAAATTTAAAATTAGAATGATATATCTCATGATTTATAAGTTTTAAATATAAATTTAAAATTATTATAATTAGCTCATAACTTTTGTATTAAGGAGCAATAAAAGTGACGTTGAGATTATTTATATATTTTACAAAAGAATGCTTTTAAGAAAAAATATTATGAGAGTTTTAAAATCTCATACACAGAAATATTATGAGAGTTTCAAAATTTCATACAAAATCTATATATTATTATAATTACAAAACGTTGTAATCTTATTAAAGTTAAAAGTTGCAATTCTTTTTATTTTTTTATTTTATTTAATTTTTGTTAATGTGTTTCACAATATGATTGGTTTATAAATTAATTTTATATTTTTAAAATAAATTTTAAATTTAGATTCTCCCTTAAATTATGTTACCAGAATAAGATTAATAATCATTTTTTAATTTATGTATCTGTTATTAAATTATAAAATAAAATTTTAAATTTAAATTATATTACTACAATTAGAATGAGATTAATATTCAATGTGTCATAATATTATTGGTCTAAACATAATATGTTATTAAATACACATATTCAAATTATTAATCACTATTAAAAGTTTATATATATATATATTTGTCATTTTTGGTTTTAAATTTTATAAACTTTTTTTTTATATCCATCTAAAATATAAGGTTTTAAACAATAAATTCTTTAATACAAAAATTTTTTTTTTTTTAACAAAAGACAAAAACATTAAGAAAATGAATAACTTTTTTAACGATTGTCATTGTCAATTAAACAAATTAAGAAGTGACTTTTGTTAAAATCAAATAGAAATAAATATATATATTTTTTTTTATTAAAAATGATAGTTGGTGAATCTTATTTTTTTATATAATAAAAAAAATGAAAGTTACACGTGATAATTTGTTATTCTAGTAATACTACAAATTCATACTTTCACCCACAATAATGTGATAAGAGAGTTGGGTCTCATGACATTGAGTGACACATATGATATCACATCATTATGGATACAATTATGATTTTTTTTGTGGATCTCAAATATATATATATTTTTTTATTATTTATCTAGACTTTTTTAGTACTTATGAAATATGGTGGATCCTGTGAATTTTTTTTTTTAAATCCCAATTGTCAATTAAACAAACTAAAATTAAAAAATGAAAATTTTTTGGCTCCAATTGCTAAAAAGTGACTTTTGTTAAAACAAATAGAAATAAATGTTATTTTTCTAATAAAATAACATTTTTCAAAAACACTTTCAGAAAATTCTACTTCTTTATTTTTCGTGTTTTTTTATTTTTACTGAATTGTTTTTTAATATTTTAAGCAAATTTTTTTTAAAATTTTTTTTTAGATACACCTAATCTAGATATACTTAAGAAGTATAATATTTTGTGAATTTTTTTTTAAATTCACCGAATAAAAAATACAAAAATACAAAAATTCAGTAATATTGTAATAAATGTGAATGACGGTATTTGGTAACGCTGTAATAAATGTGGGTGAATAGATGAGAAAGAAAAATGATAGTGGAAATAAAAATGAATTTACCAAAAACAAAAAAATACGAAAATCAAAAAATTCAGTTTTCAAAAAATTTCATTCAAAAAACTCAAACCAAACACACTGTAATTTGTGAAATATCTTTTTTTATTTAAAAAAAATGAGGGTTATATGTGATAATTTATTAGTCATCTAGAATTATTTTCAGATTAAATGAGAAAACCATTCTAAATTTTTTTCTTACCTTTTATTTTTTCCAAATATTTTTATTTTGTAATAAATTTAATTTTATTATATTTAAATATTTTATTGTAATTTTTAAATTAAAAATAATTTTTGACAAATCATATTTAAATTATTTTAAGCCATTATAAAATGTATTTTTTTTAATATCAACTTATTTGATGATCCCTTTCTAAAAGGTATATTTTCTTTTATTCATTAATATTAAAATTTTAATTAATCTTATTTATTATTAAAAAAATAAATTAGAAAACAATTTTATATATTTATATATATAATTTTATTTCGATTGCTCAGGTTATTTGGTGTCTCTATCCAAGTTCATTCAAATTTATTCAAATTTTTGAATTTTACATAGGTGCTCACCAAATTAAAAATTATGTTGCCCAATTTTTAAAAATTTGTAAGCTTGACTCGAGTTGCTTGGATTCAACTCGCCCAAATTTATAATTTTAGCAAGGGGGTTGAAAGTTACATTATTAAAATTGTGACAAATTAAAAATTAATATATAAATTGTGATAAAATTGTAAAATTTAAATTGTAAGCTTCAATATTTTTTTATTTTCATAATTTACATACAAAAATTTAACTATTTATATTATTTTATATAATCATATTTTATTATTATTTTTCACATCCCATGCACAGCAAAGATTTTCACTAGTAATAGAAATATGGAGAGGTGCATGTGAGACTTACACCTTCACAAATTTTTACTTGCACCTTATCATAGAATCACTTTCACCCTATGTGTTTATAATTTTTTTTCTACTTTTCACTGGACAGTAATTATCTCTTTTATGTACATACCTTACAAGATGCATAAATAAAATCTACCTCTTTAAATCATCTTCAATCTGGCCGTAATTAATATTTCTATCAAATATAAATTTGATAAAAAGAAATAGTTAAAAATATGCTTAGGTCATTTTATCATATTTGTATCAAATCAAAGAAAGACAATTTTTTGGCAAAATTAAGGACAACCAAAATTTTCACCAAACTCCCAATAATCACATATTACTCAAATTTGATGAGATTTAAAAAGAGTAAGAATTGGAGATGATTTTTTTATGTAAAAAATTGTTAAAACAAAATTTTAGAATAAGTTTGAAATTTTTCAAAAAAAAAAAAAACAAAACAAAACAAAACAAAAAGGATGAAAAAAGCATTGATTGGATAATACAATATCAAATTAAGTTTTCAACCAAAATTTCTCCACAATTTAATGAAAAGTAAAATAAGGAGTGAAATACTCTTAATAATCCAAAATAATTGGGTCCACTACTTTAAAAATATACTTTTTAAATGAGGAATCTATTACTTTAAAGCAATTACCAATATATATTTTGTTCATACACTTACCAAATGCGTAAATAAAACTATTTTCCTTGTTAGCAGGACTCATGAACTAAAACACATCATAATATATATCTATATAACAATGGAAGGGTGAGTTTGAATTTAAGAGCTAAAAATATATATTTATCAAAATTTGGATCATTAGATTGTTTCAATCCAATGGTTGAAAATGTCTTACTCTCATTTGTCCTATTTGAACATTTCAATGATTGAGATCAATTACCATCAACATCTAATGGTCCAAAATGTCTCTCACCTCAGCTCAAGATCTAATGTGGCTGAAAATCTCTCTCTCATACGTACTTTTCTCTGTTCAAAATCTCTCTCTTTCAATTTTCAAATTTTGAACACACACCTCTCTCTCTCTCTCTCTCTCTACCTCCATCGGAGCCCATTCCTTTGTCGGAGACCCAACCCTTGCCGGAGACCCAACCCCGAACCCCCTATTACTCTCTTTATCTTCTCTCTTCCCCCCTCTCTGTCTCTGCCATCCCTCTTCGTCAACAGTGGCAGCCCCAAACGCCCTTCAATATTGATGACGACCGAATTGCAAAAGGAAGAATCTAAAGGTGAGCAAACCAATCTTATTTGTTATCTTCTGAAAATATCTAAACAAAGGGGAAAATAGAAATGTTAATAAGCCATCAAATTGGCTTATTCTCACTCAAAAATTAATGATTTGTGTTTCCTCACTTTGTCATTACATATTGATTTAGATGATTCTTGAGAGTTTTCTTTTTGCAACTATTACTGTCAACTCTTAAAAGGTCGTCAAAAGCTTAATAATAGGCCAGAGGAACTACCTAAATATGGAGACTGTTTGGTGCCAGAACTTGCTACCCACCCACCCACCTACTCACACACCAATATTTTTACTTAGTAAGGTTTTTGCTCTCTGCCTAACTACCCATTTTATGTCTTCAGAATGAAAACAGTGGACTTTACACAGGAGATGGTTCAGTGAACATCAAGGGGGAACCTGTGTTGAAGAGCAACATTGGGAATTGGAGAGCATGCCCCTTCATTCTTGGTAGTTACTACTTCAACAATGTCTATAATTCTTAATGTTTTTGATATTCCATCTTTTTTCTTCAAACTTCGTTGAATATAAAAAAATAGGTACTGAATGCTGTGAACGCTTAGCTTATTATGGGATTGCTACAAATCTTGTCACTTATCTCACCACAAAATTACACGAAGGAAATGTCTCTGCTGCAAGAAATGTTACGCTTAGCTTATATATGTGATTAGCTTTACAGCATAGCTTTTGTTACTTGACCTGTGCCCCAATGATCCTGCTCTAGCCATCCACATCCACATCCACATTGTAGAGAGCAATAATCCAAAAGCTGATGAAAAACTTGAACTGGTTTCCATGTTTTACTATCTTTCTTAATACTATTTGTTTTTGTCCTTTCTCATTTTGTGACAACATCATGGGTGGAGATTCCTTTGCCTCTTATGTGCTCTATGATGGTAACAAATGAGTCATTCTTCACTACATTTTAGAAAAAGACCTCTCCCACTTTATTTCCTTTTATCATTACTTATTTATTTGTTAGTGCGGACAAAGGCTCTTCTACTTGTGGCAAATTATTAAATAATTACGTGATATTATTTATATGATATTTTTAATAGATAAAAAGCTGTTTAATAGTCTTGTCTCAAATCAAACAGCCTAAAGATTGACTATCGACCTTTGGGCCCAATGATGACCTTTGCTCTTAAAGTAGTGTTCAACCTAAGCTTAAAGGAATCATTGTCTCTCGCTTAGTTGTTGTGTAACACAATTTTTTGATGTGAGGTTACAAATTCAAATCTTATATAAAAGAGTTTGATATCTTATTTCTCCTTAAGACTGTAATATTATATAATTGTTGGGTTGGGCTAGGCATGGTTTCTTTCAGTTAGTTGTAGGATTTGTAGATATACAATTGTACAACTTGATATAATTATTTTCATAATTATAATTAATCTCCTCTTGATTGGGGGAGGGGGAACCCTAAAGGCTCTATAATTTTAAATTCTCAATTAAATACCTCAAATCAAATCCTCATAAGAAAAAAAAATTGATTCACATACATTGCATGAAAATTTAGAAGTGCTGATATCCATTTCTTACCTCTTAGTGAGAATGTTAATAAAATAAAAGATTCTTACATTTAATTATTTTTCTTTGTAAGTTTCCAAACAGATTAGTTGAATTGTCTGATTAGGACCTCAAATATCTTAGTTTAAAATCCTAGGTTTCATAAGTGGGAAACCTTAAAGTAGTGTTCAACCTAAGTTTAAAGGAATCATTGCCTCTCGCTTAGTTGTTGTGTAACACAATTTTTTGATGTGAGGTTACAAATTCAAATCTTATATAAAAGAGTTTGATATCTTATTTCTCCTCAAAACTGTAATATTATATAATTGTTGGGTTGGGCTAAGTATAATTTAGTTGTTGGATTTGTAGATATACAATTGTACAACTTGATATAATTATTTTCATAATTATAATTAATCTCCTCTTGATTGGGGGAGGGGGGAACCCTAAAGGCTCTATAACTGTAAATTCTCAATTAAATACCTCAAATCAAATCCTCATAAGAAAAAAAAATTGATTCACATACATTGCATGAAAATTTAGAAGTGCTGATATCCATTTCTTACCTCTTAGTGAGAATGTTAATAAAATAAAAGATTCTTACATTTAATTATTTTTCTTTGTAAGTTTCCAAACAGATTAGTTGAATTGTCTGATTAGGACCTCAAATATCTTAGTTTAAAATCCTAGGTTTCATAAGTGGGAAAAAAGCGCGTAACCATCGAGGTGAGAATGAAGGTGAAGAAGGAGATGACAAAGATCCATTGAAGTTTACAGTCTTAACTAGGGTACGTGGCGTGTTAATCCAAATTATTGGGTCCTGATCCAATGTTTGGACCACTAATGAATCCATGCAGAAAGGTTAAGTGTAAATTCCAATGCTTAATTAAACAAAGTGAATAGTGAATGGAACTCCAAATCCATTTACATCTTTGTATATAATTTAAACTTAGAACCATCTGATTTCATGCAATGCAACTAATATGCAATTGAGTGTAATCGCATATCAAAAATTACAAATACAAAAAAAATATTTAGATATATCCAAAAAATAAAATATATAATATAAATTTAAATTTGATATGATTTCGGTCACACTTAGGATGAATTAGTTTTACATATTTTAAATTTTAGACATTTTTTTTTTTTTTTTTGTATATACTTTTCTCGGTATGTCGCATCACTGCATATAAAAATTAGATTGATGTGTGAAGAATAAATAAAAAAATAGAATGGTCACCTTGCTTTGAGTTGGTCATGCACAGTGCCAAAGCTAGCTAGACTAGGACAGGGACATCTTGGTTTCTTGGCTCACATGAGTCTTTAGTGTCTTTTCCATGGAATAGAGGGACAAATGATGTTTTACGCTCACCGGAGAGCCATAAGAATTCATATATTTTTTTTAATAAATTAAAAATACATGAGATTTATTTAAATTATAAATTATTTTTTATAATTTTAAAAATTATATTATATTGTTAAGATTTTTAATTTCATAACAAATAGATTTTTTTATTAATAAATTATCAAATTAATTAATATTTTTTAATAATATTAAAATTTTATTTCAATTAATAATTTAGATAATTTTATTATTGTATATGTGAACAGTTATAAATTTTACTTTTTCAATTAATTCTATTAAATGAAAAATTCTGACATAGAGATATTTGTAATTTTTCAAATCACAAAAAATAATTCATATTTTAAACAAATCTCAAAAAATGTATTTATAATTTATCTTTTTTTTAATATGTGCTAGTAAAGTGAGATCAACTTTCATGTATGTCTGGTTGAATTTTTATTTGGGCAAATTTTATTTTATCTTATTGTGATTCGGTTTATGCGTATGTAACTGTTTATTATTTGAAAATAAATATATAATTCTCTTGTAGTTTGTATTTTGAAGTGTACCATTAACCTGTTAACAACTTAAGCAAAAAAAATTTAAATACATATTTTTTTGTCATCTCATTGTATAAACCCATATATTTTTTTGTTATTTTTTTAGAGGCAAAATTCACTTTAACCCATCATGTTTTATTTCATGTCTAATTTATCCCATAAAATTTAAAAACGAATACATAATCCCTTTTCGTTTACTACGTTTTTTGAAGGACTAAAAAATGTACTTGCATTATATAGAGAGAATATATAATTTTAACACTTCCAAACAAGTCTTCTTTTTCAGTATCTAAATAAAATTGAGATGAAACAGAAAGTATCCCTCAAAATTCATGTAATCCAAACATAAGACCTATGATTCCTATAGATAATCGCTCCATTTAGAATATTCAAATCCCCAAATTGTGTTTAGGATAGTCCAATGCCAATGTCACACACACTGCCAAACATTATCTTTGATATGAACACAGTGCATATGCAATATGCTACAAAACTTCCAGTTTTAACAAAACCTAACAAGTGAAAATTACACAAGTTTGTTTTTAATGTGTTAAATTGCATTGTAATCTTTGGTTAGTTAATTAATAAACAAAAAACTTAACTAACTGTCTATCTAGTGAATCTCGTTCCTCCAATCGTTGTATATTGAATATTATTACTTCTACTTAATTAAATACTAATTAATAATAATATACACCTAGTAGTCATTGGATACGCGGAGACAGGCCTCGTTTGGAAATAGGCTAATTTAGTAACTTTTTGGCTATTTGGCTAAAATATGAGTTAAAAAAAACTAGTATGTTTGGGATGATTTTTTGACTTTTTACGAAAAGATGTGCAAAAAGTAGAGAGAAAAGAGAATCTTTAACTTTTTAGTATGGGTTGTTGACTTTTTGGCTAAAAATGAAGGTTCCCAAACGAGGTCCCAGAAGTATACATAACGTGCGTGACTATTAATTCTAAGCGTTTTGTTTATTGAATAATTTGTGTAAATAGGTTTGTTTCAAAGCATATTGAGGCCTTAATTAATTAATTAAGTAGGGTTGTCAAATTATCAATGCCATGGCTATCCTTCTACTATTGATTCTCTCTCCAAGTTGCAATATAAAATATAATTTTATTAATGCAGTTATTTTCAGACCTGTCATAAACTAACATGATTACGAGGTTAACTATTTAATTATTTGACCTAATTGAGATCCGAACTTACTCTGTGATGATACTTGCATTATGGAATAGTGTTGTGTTAAGCAAAGAATAATTACAATATAATGACATGCATTATTTTCATACCTTTTTTTTAAATTAAAAAAAAAAAAAAAAACATCGGGTGATAAGTAAGGACATAAAAGTCTTGCTAAAATGAGTGTAAAAAATATAATGCTAACACCACTTTATTTATTATGGATGAGATCGATTTTCTACCAAAATGAATGCAGTACTGATGAATAAATTTAGCTCAATTTTTTTTAACCTTAACCTAAGCTTGAGTTTGAACATTCCAAAAGTTCGGTTTGACTTAGTTTATGTGCAACCCCTCACATAGGGACACATTTTTTTTTATTAAAAAATATATATATAAAATAAAATAAATAAATAAATAAAGAAAAAAAGTGCAAAGAATGGAATACTGGTAGCGTTGCATTCATCGTAGGCAAGAATTATATATTTATGGCATTACTTAATGAACAAGTGGTAGCACTGAGACATAGGTTATTTCAGCTTGTAATATATTTGTTTATATTGGTTTTCTGATTAAACTATATTTCTATGTTTGTAAAATTAATACAATGGAATGGAGAGAAGACTATTATTATCAACCAAACGGTATGAACAGTTATTGTCATGTGATCTATTAATTAATTAATTTTTTATTAAAAAAAAAGTAAATAAAATTAGTTTTTATATTTATTATATTAATTTTTGGTAATTATTTTCTTTTAACTCGGCATTTGCATCAAATTGTCCTTGCGATTTTTTAAGATGGGCTGTTAAGGCTGACTGACTACATTACCAGGCCCGATCTCCTCAGCCGCCCACTGGGCTGATTATATTATGGGCCTGGGCCTTCATGCTAAATAGGCTCAAAGTGAGCCATGATAATTCAGACTTGAATTAAAAACCAGTATTTGGAATGAAATTTCACTACGTGTTTGGATTTCATATTTATGAAGGAAAATAAAAGGGGTTAAAAAAAACCTATTATATATATATATACTGTGAAACGTCATAGGAAAGACCATAAGAAACATCTCTGTTAAAGGCCAGGATTCACTAATCAAAACTACTATATTTTATAGCATTCTTTTTTAAGATTCATAGGAAGATAAAGAAGGTGTGATTCAACCAACTGTGATTCTGAACTATTTGCTTCAATATATATATAACATTCAACAAAGTCAATTCAAACTCTTCTTCCAAACTATTTGCTTCTACTACTTGCACTTTCCAATATCCTGTCATTACAAAAAAACACAAACCCCCCCCCCCAAAAAAAAACCCACCAAGAATTTCACATTCTCCCACTTGATTGTCACTAAGACACCGAATGTCGCCGGTTTCTTGACGGCGTAGATTTAGCTTCTTCGGGGTTGGCCGAACCGTGACTCTCCGACGAATCCGACCCACTATTCTCCCCTTGCCCGGCCTTGCTCAACCAGATTTTAGAAAAAATCTTCTTTGACATGAGCAACCCTTTCGTTCTACTAATCAAAGAAGTCTTGTCAACATGACTTCCGTTTCTTTCACTCCCGAGCCTCAAGGCCGCTACCTCAGCCTTCAAGGCCTTAAGCTCCTCAGCCGTGGCCACAGCATCCCAGTCTTCGTCTGTGTTAGTTGTGGCGGACCTTGAGCTCCCGTGGGACCCACTATTTAAGTCCTTGATGCCTTTAGGTAGGTCAGGAGTGCTGCTTCCAGATGATGCAGCAGCCCGGACCTGCTCAAAGAAGAGAACTTGCACAACGACACGCAATGGAAGTCTCTCATTTTGCACGGCATGCATGCATGCATCTATGGATAGCTTCTTGCAGTCCATCAGCCGGCATATCCTCTTCCTCTCGCTCTTGCTAATCCCGGGATGCTCCTAAAGAGAAAAACATCAATGAATTTAAGATGCTGTGTAAACAACATTAGTTGCAACAATGTACAAGTTCTAATATTAAAACAATGTTTGAAACTTTTTTGGAAAAATTAACAACTAGTTTGACAAAAATAAACATTAAAAAAGATATTTTTGAAATTTTACAACTTATTTCTGCCCCAACAAAGAGAAAATCATATGAAAATTATGTATATTTTTATTTTCATTTTTCTCACTGAACTAGTTTTTGAAAAAATAAATAAATAAATAAATAAAATTCTAAAAGCTTAACCAAGCAGTGATTTGCAAGTAAAAAAAGTATCTAAACATATTCATATTATGGGTAATTAACAAAAAAAATGATATTTTGACCACATAACTATTCATTCCCAACCAATGAATAGATAAATTTAGCTTCTTTCACTTCATCTTCTCCTATCTTTTCTCTCGCCTTTTCCTTTCCTTCCAAAAATCCAAAATCCAAATATACCCTAACTTTTTAAAGATTGAATGAAGCTTTTTATTACTTGCTCCAACAAGATTCTAGTGCAAAATGCAACCCGTATAAGCATTTTCTCAGGCCTAATTTTCAAACTCGTAACTTTCCAAAAACAAAAATTTCAAACTTATCATAAGCCATGTCAAGCAACACAATCCAAAGACCAATTAAATATATCATATAATCTGAGCAGAGAGTAAGGATTTTGCAAAGCACTTACCTTGAGGTACATGTCAATGGCCCGATAAATGCTATCATGACCAGGTCGCGAAAAACCGGACACCATCTCAGCAAGATTAACAAATGTCGACAAAGGCAAGTTAGGATCCTTTGCAATTTCAGCAAGGTAGCCATCAACCAGTTTTGCCACCATAAGCTTTGAAGCTTCTGTCAAAATCCCCGGCCTTCTCATCTCACAGCCCTCTACTAATTGAATTTCAGCATTCTGATCTTGCATCACAAACTCCTCTAGCATATTATGCACTATCTCGACATCATACATCATAGTTTCACCTTCTGGGGCTCGTATTAGAAGATCGCTCACAGAAGCCTCCTCCAACTGCTGTCCTATTCTCCTCACAAGTTCTTTCTTCTCCATTTCTCCTGAATCCACCAAAATAGCTGCTTTTAACAGCTTGAACAAGAAACCACAAGAAACGCTGCCTTTCTCCACAGGCAATAGCCACACGATCACATCCACTATCAATTGACTCTTCAACATATCGCTACACTGGATCATACCCTTGCTAAATCCTGGCAACCTTCTCAAAGCATACGCTTTCAAGGCTTCTTCGACCACTTCACCAGAAATTATCCCTCGATTTTTTATATTAGTTATAACACGCTTGTATAAGTCTACTTCTAGCTCACACAAATCCTCGACCCACCAATCCTTGGGCACCACCCGGTTTCTAACACCGTTCCAGTTAGGATCGCTCGCGTTTTCCTCCAGGAGCTTTTTTCGGTTATAAGTATAGGACCAATCCACCTTGGAAATATCAACGGAGGCCTTGGAAGCTATGGCATCGATGCAGTGACTTGCCAACTTCAGTTCCTCAGACCAAGGCAACAGAGACTTGGTGGTCTGAAGAACAATTATAGAATCCTTCCAGCTCCGGAAAATGCTCGAGGTTAGGAAAACATCAACCTTGTAGATGAGGTTTCCCTTCTCAATTGTCTCGTGCATTCCAAGGTACTCAGCCGCACATCGAGCCGCAACAACGTTATAAGCATTGAGAGTGACAGTCATGCCATAACAGAACTTGGCACATATTTCAAAAGCAACGGGTCCACCAGGAATGTCATGAATGTGGACTTCATCACCATTTCCGTCATTCGTGGATGTAACGAGCTTGTGCAAAAGGGCGCTCTTCGACAAGAGAGGAAACTGCAGAACCATTTTTTTCTTTGAGTCCATCAGTTTTATGAGATGAATATGACAGTTACATATTATGAAGCACGGATATAGATACAGGATAATGATATGATATCATACGTAGATAAAACAGTAACAAAGGATTCAAGGCTATACTATAATCACACCTTGTGCAGATAAAACTTCACATTCCCTACGCTAACAACGATGTCAGTTGCCAACTCGGTGGCTACATACCTGCAAATCAGAATATCTTGGTTAATATTATCAATGAAACTTCAAAAATTGGATGGAAAATGATTTGTAAACAGAAAGTTTATACAGTAAACAAATCCAGAATACATGTCAATGATATTTTTGAAATTATAAGAACGATAGTGAATGTTTTGATTGGAAATGAAAAGATCACAAGAAGCCACATCATTTTGTACAAAAGTTATGTTTGTGTATCATTACTCAAATTAAATGTGTCAAGGACACGGAGGTGGCTGAGGCGGCGAAAGGGCGGCATTGCCATACGGCCGGGGAATAAGCGGCATCATCGAGGAGGGTACCTCCGGTGTCGCCAAGTGGTGCATTGGGGAGTGATCGTGTGCCCTTTTCGCATCTTGAAGAAGATCGTCATCGAAATGTTTTCGAATGGAAGTTTGATAAAGTCTTGTTATTGGTCCTTACCAATTTTTCGTCCCCAGCTATTTCCACTCTGTTGATTGCTAACTAGCACTTGTCTTCATTATTTTTATTTTTATTTTTATTTTTTTATTTTTTGAGTGTCATAATTGTGGAGTTTGCAGCCCTTGGAGGTGGAAAGACAAAGTGATCATGTTTGGTAATTTACAGCTTTGTATTTTAATATAAATTGTAATATTTAGAATATAGAGAGTTGTTTTGTATATTGAAGATGTTTTATTCTATGCATAATTATTTAATTTCATAGACATTAAAAAAAATTCACTTGTAAATTGAATGAATGAAGAATTATCACTCTCGACCATAATGAATCGGATTATTATTATAAATAACAATATTTGATATGTAGCTACAAATAGAACATAGCATCAGAGATCCACTGCAGCCCACAAGAAGTTCTATCTTCTCCTCAATCATTCAAGGGATAAAAGTTCGATATATATATACAAAATGTAATAAGTTTTTCAATTTTAAAGAGAACCATGATCTAGAAAATTTAAGCACTGTCATTCGAAAAAAATCTTAAATGTCATACATCAAAAAATTCCCTAGTACTTTTTGTTGCAAATTTGAGGTTTCAATTTTTGGTTTGGGTAAATTACACTTGCACCCCCTGAGATTAGAGTTTAATACATATCACCCTTTGACGTTTGAAAAATTACACTAACCCTCTTGTCATTGTAATTATTTAGACTGAATGAAGATATTGAACTCATAAACTCTCTTTTTTCTTGATTTGCTTTACTTCCTCTGCTTTTTCTCTTTTTTCCTTTTCTTTGCTTTACCCTTTTTTTTTTTTTCAATGTAATTTTCTCTATTTTTCTACTAGGAATTGTTGCATTTTATATAAGTAGGGAGGTTTGTGAAATAAGAGTATTAACCACAGGGGTGAGAATGTAATTTCAGAACATCAAGGGGTGGGATGTAATTGGACTAAATCTCAGGGGGTGTCAGTGTAATTTACCCTTTTTGTTTAAATCATTTCAATTTTTTTTCATCCCAAACGAAAAGATAAATGAACCGAATTTGAATAATCGATATAATCAGGAAATGAGGGTTGAGCAATATATTAACCTCTGGAAAATTAAAATTCGACTTGATCATATGGAAGGAAAAGTTTTTAGTGAATTTGTTGATGAACCAATGTAGCTAGGGAACACAAATTATGATATGGCTACAAACAAAATGTTGAAAAGGCTGCCTAAGTTCTATCAGGATCCAACAAAATCCTCATATGAGTTGGTCATATTATATACATACTTTAAGTGACAAATAATCATGTTGGGCAAACTCTAATTCAGATTGTTAAATAAATCCGGATATATAATCGCTAAATTTTTGTATATCAGATACTTGTATTGGGAAAAAAACAAAACCAAGTCGGATACAATTCAATCATATATCGAGGTAAACCCAAAATGTTGGCACCAGCCCTGTCACCTCTTGAAAGAGCATTACAGAACTTACTTTTACCGAATTTGGAACCAAACAAAATATCAATTCATCTTTGAAAGAATCAACAGCTCCATCACACATCCTTAAAAACTTAAATGACCAAACAACAGCTCTATCACACATTAACAACCATCCCAGAAGGGAGATTAATTACCAGAGGCCTATTTTGCATTGCACAACATTTTATACAGGCAAAACCCAAAGTATTTTTCAGCAATGCCTTTGAGTTCTGTCCATCTTTTCTAACTCTGTTTTTTTTTTTTTTTTGGGATAAATAAGATGTTAAAATTGATGTATGGAAAAATAGAGAGAATGAAATATGTATTGATGATTGATATTATTGATTTATATGTTGATATCTATTACAATGATTCATGATTCCTATATATAGAAGAGGGTGAGTGTGTAGTAGGTAAGGAGTAGGTGAAGTGGAGGTGGTAGTGGTGTAGTGGGTTAGGTTTAGTGGAGTAGGTGAGGTGGTAGTGGTGTAGTGGGTTAGGTTTAGTGGAGTAGGTTTAAGTGGGTGAAGTAGGTGATAGGTTTTAACATAAGATAACGTTTATTGAAAAAGCATCAAGATGATGCAAAGAATACAATGCCGCTCAAACATCAAATGGAAGAGAAAACTCACCAACTCCTAACCAAGAATATCCTCTAAAAAATCTAAAAAAACAAACAAATCCAGATCAAACTTCTGTTCCAACCAACCATACAAAACTATAAGGAGGCGACTCTCAAGCCATGAAAAGCTGTGGTTGGGCTGGGTCAGGTACCCATCAGATCGTGGCCTTAAAAATTCTAGTTGAAATTACATATTGGTACTAGCACGATGGCAAGTGCTCATTTGCCCTCTTCAAGTTTTGTTCATCTTTTCCAAAGTCCAACTTTTATGATGGTATTTATAACAAAATTTATCCATCCAAATTACATATTGGTACTAGCGTGATGGCAAGTGCTCATCTGCCCTAGTGTTGTAGCATGGCTTTGAGTCACGGGAATATATCTCTCCGCTAAAAAGCGAGGCAAAGTTATCTACCTGCTACACCTCCCAGATCCTACAATAATATGGGAGTTTTGTACACTGGGTATGGACCCTTTTTTTTAAAGATTATCTACATAAAATGTGACTGGTTATGACTATTGAAGGATCTTATTTGATAACATACTTAAACTAAGATCACATCACACCCTGGATCCCTCATGCCAAATACATCAAATAATTTTTCCGCATATTGACATCCAATTTTGGAGAAAACATAAGTTTTTCCATAGTGACTATTGCCTCTCAGTAAATATGCAACCCACATATCAGTGTGATGGACACTGCCAAGAATCAGGGTTAGCATACCAAGTTAAACATGTGAAAATACTGAACAACGGTAACAACTGTGCAATTTTCTCCAAAAAAACAAAGAAATTTTTTGTTTTTTGAATCTTTGAAGATTAATATGATAATCGAAAAATTAAAAAATAAGAAAAATAATTGCTGATGGAACAGTTTCCACTATCCTTAATTAAATATAAGAAATAACTAATAAAAATTTAATCACTTTCTTATGAATCCAATATCTTAAAATTGACCCCACTAATATTAAGAGAAAAAAACAAAATAGAAAACGACAGCAAGTCAATAATCAAAGTACATAAAGTGACTATTCATTGTTGGCAAGAACATGGGCTTGGCTGAACAAACAATGAACGACAAACCAAACTCACAAGCCTCACAAAGTGTACGCTAAGATATACCCTGTCTAATTTCATTTGGCAATCTAGAAATTACTAGCCACGAGCAGAAGTTCACAAAGAATCTTGACCCTATTTCATGTCATACCAGATTTTTATGTGAAATAATATTTAAAAAAATAAAAATAAAAAAGAAAGATATCAAATTTTGAAACTTCCCCCAAAAAGCCCCAAGGCTAACCATCAAACTTAACAAAGAAAAAATGGAATCGATTACAAAAATATCAACAAACAGAAACAAACTAAAATGCATCACAGTAAAATGGAAGGCGAATTAAATTTTTGAGCAAGAAGGAAGAAAAATAGGCGAAAATAATCGGGTGATTGAAGATCTCACCTGACATTGTTCCCATCAGTCTCGAAGGAATCCGGCTTTGATCCAAGCTTCATGAACTTCATCTTGGCAAACAAACGTTTACTTCCGCTATTCCTCCGGCACCACAAAACAATCCTTCCTCACTACTCAACTGATCACTTCACTACCCGATTAAGTGCTTCACGGTCGCCACCACACATCCCCAATGACCGAACATAACCCCAATCGAGGAGAAACCTCCAGGTAAAGGAAATTAAGCCCCGTATGTGGGTGGGGACCAGATTTCTAAATATGAAGTAAATAGAGTCTCAAAGAGATGAATGATTTATGCTGCACTACGACCGAATCTTGACAGCAACAGAGGCCGAAGCAATCTGAGAAGAGAGAGAAGATGAATTTGTGTAATTTTTTTGTTTAAAGAATAGGTTCACTTGAAAGGGAAGAGAGTGAAAGAAGAGGTTGTTTCCTTGGTCAGCGGCAAAGTCCACAGACTCCGGGTGCACCGAGTCAGCCAAGGAGACATAGCCAACAGGCTCTCAAGATTAAAATAATTCTCAAAATCAGAGACACCACCAAGCACAAATCTGACTTCACTCACTCTCTACCCTTCTCTCTCCTACTCTGTTCTCTCTGTTTCTTGGTTTTCTTTATAATATAAAGCATAAAAGATTCACACCCACTAAAAACCCTAGTACTCTTTAAAGGTTTCAAATTCCAAACTCAATATAGAAATCAGATATACATAAATGTCATTTATTTCACCGTTTGAAAAAAAAAACTCAGCAATTTAAAAACAGCATCTTGGTAAACCACCAAAAACGGCAGACAACAAGCATCTATGCAAAGTAAAGGAATAAATGAGAAGATCAAGAACAACATGAAGTGTTGTAAATATGTATATCTTATTTAATTTAATGATCAATCAAACAAAATCTGAGGAACCCAACAGAATCATCTCAGAGAAATTAGAGAAAATCTAATAAACAAATGAACCCATGATCATCACCAAATGTTAAATGTGAAAGAGAAAGCTATAAACCCACATGAAAGCAATCTATGTTCATCATCAACCAGTGATCAATAGACAAAACCCAAAAGCCACTCTCCATGAATACCCCAACAAAACCCAAGAAATCTGCTTCAAATAGAGTGATATCAACATTGTGTGTCTGTGTGTATGTGAGAGAGAGTAGAGAACAAAATCACAATAGCTGGATTGAAGCCATTACCATATGATTGGCACACAAACCACCAAACAAAACCTAAAGAATTCACTTTCCCAACACACCCAACAAAAAATGAGATGCTTCTAGTTTTCTACAGTGCCAAACACCCAAAAACACAACAAAAAAAAAAAGGGGGGGCAAGCTGAGGATAAGCGCTTACCAGTTACCAGTATTGTTGGAATTGGAGCAGGCAAACTTTCACCACTTCCTATTTCTTTCACGCAACAAAGACAAAAGCAAAAGTAAAAAAACCCATTGAAATTGGTTCTCTAAATGTTTTTCTTTTCTTTTTTCTTTTTTCGTTTTTCGTATTTTCTCTTTGATTTTTCTGGGAAAGTAGAAATCCTTCACTCTGTTCAGTTTGAGGCCACTGAAATTAGGACACCCATTTTGCTGTGTATTGCACGCCAAACCTGACACGCAGCTTTCTTGCCCCGAGCCCTGCTGGAGACCCCCAGCAGGGAAGGGCCCCCAGCACCCCCACCTCCACGTGGGGGGCTGGCAATGGAAGGAAAATCAAAAAAAAAAAAAAAAAAAAAAAAAAAAAAAACAAAAAATTATTTTGGACCAATCAGGAGAGACCCCCAGTACCCCCACTGGGGGTCTCATGCATTTTCCCCCTTCTTTAACGTGGAGTACTACTTTGGGACTTTTGTGAAATGACCCCTCACTTTTGTCCTAATTAACATATGAACCCTTCTTTGTACCATAAAAAGGCTTGTCCATCAACTCAGACCTTTTCTTGAGAAGGAGGTTAAAAATTATTTTTTTTTAATTTTTAATTCATTTTGAATAGTATTTTTTTTACATTTTTTATATATATTTTTAAAATTTTAAAACATTAATTTTTAGGTTTCGTTTGGCATGTTATGTTTGGACTAAAATATTCATAAAAAAATAAAATAGATTTTTTATTTCAATAAGATAAAATATCACATCTAAACTATAATTATTTCATTTTTTCTCTCAAAAAAGTCAAAAAATCTATCTCAAATAAAACTTTTTCACCTCAAACTAAAATAGTTAAAAAATCAAATAACCAACACACATTCCAAACAAAGGCTACTCATCTTCTCGAAACAACCCTCAATCTCTCTTTTTCTTTCCCATTACACCACTCTTTTTCCAATTCCAAATCACAGTGATTGTACTGTTCATCTTCTCTTACAATATTATGATAACAATTAGAAATTTAAACTCTAGAATATATTTACATTTTTTTTGTAAATATGGATTAAAATTATATTAAGTTGACTCAAAACTTGATTATAAAAATAAAAAATAAAAATTAAAGATTGCTTAATGTATAATGTAGATTTGCATGACAATGGTTCCACTATAAACAATGCTTCCATCTTATAGATGTATCCCATCTCTTTTGTTTAGTTTGATGATTCGGAATAAAGGCATATGAAATAGTATATTATTAGTATGTGTGTTGAATTAAATTAATGTTCCAAGAAATATAGTGAAAAGAGGTGATCAGTGCATAAGAATACTCTTTGGAACTAATCATAGAATTCCTTACTTGTAAACATGAGGAGTTTAGACAAGCTTAAAAACGAATGAATTACAAATATTATGATTCATATTGACAAAGAACTAATAATTTAGAAATAATGAGTAAAAATCTCAATCCGAATCTTGTGTCCATAAACATGTACTCATGTTTTTATGAGAGTAAATCCAACCATAAAGTAACAAAAATGGACGGTTCCTAAATGAACATCTACAATCCAACCATAGAGACATTTTCCAATGATTTGTTAGTGTGACAACGGTTCAACTTAACTACAATTAAGAATGAACATCTTACTAGTCTAATGAGTAACCCCAATAACTTTTGTTTTTGTATTTGTATTTGATTCTAGTTAAACCAGTCAACAATCCTAGTTGTTAAAAAAGTTTACTCCTCTCCTTACTAATTAGGATTCGAATCATCTACTATTTTAGTGAAAATTCAACGATTTAAGTAGATCAACTAGCTTCTTCTAATTTGATTGTTCGAATCCCCTACTATTCAAATGAAAGTCCTTTGAATTATAAAGGTGGATCCTAATACTGTGTTTGGTTGGAGTTGGGAGATTTAAGAAGAGATTTGGAAAAATGAAAAAAAGTAGATGAAATGTGAATAAAACATGTCTATATTTCACCTAATTTTACACACATTTTTCCTTTCCTTTTCATTTTCCAAATTCCTCCCCAAATCCTCCAACCAAACACAGCGATTAAAATTCTAAAAGGATGTAGCCCCGAGGTAAGAATCACTAGAAGTCATCTAATTTCGGAAAGAGACTGTCTATTGTTGGCTAGCTATCTCTGGCCCCTTGGTTCCTGTCTATGAGATGGCACGACGCCTTAACTGCGGAAGATTACATTCCCCGCTTTCAGATTTATCTTAAGGGTATTTTGGGCATTAAAAAAAATCCTATATATCCTCTGTACCAATTTGAATTCCACCCATCCAAAATCACCAAAAACATAACCTCAACATTAGTTAAACACAAAACAACTTATTTGAGTATTTATTCTATTATATAAAACTTACAACTCAGTAAAATTTTATTTAAAAAAAATTATTCTCAATTTCCTCTGCAACTGTCTCACATTTTTATTTTAAATTTCAAACTTTTATACTTCTTTATTTTTTTCTCTTCATCTACACTAGGTTTTATCATCAAGTAAAAAATCCAATTTCCATAACACATTCATCAAGTATGCCCACCTCCAAATTTAATTGTATCATATTCTCTCTCCTCCCAACACATGCCCACAGTAGTGGTACATTTTATTCACAAAAATATATAAAACCCATCACTCCCCCTCATTTTAAGGGCCCCCAGTTCACTCCTTTCCCTCCCTCAGTGGGGGTATCCAAACTTGGACACATGGTGCTGACTGTGTCACTATAAATGCATCTACAAATCCTATGTAACATGAAAATTTGATTCCCTAAGAAACGATTTTTTTTTTTGTTTTTTTTCATTCTTTTATTTATTCCCACATTGCTTCATATTTCAAACTAGTTGGACCTTGTAATTTAGAATATATTTCTTAGTGGAATTTGTTCATAAAAAATAATATATGTATAAAAAGTAAAAATAAAAAGTCATGGTGGTCAGATTTTGAATTTGAAATTAGCTATAGTCAACGACTTATCGTCATTCGTCATCGTCTAAGTGGACTCATTATTCACGCCTAATTTTTGAACCAATAGAATCTTCAAAAAAATTCATTACAATTTGCTCATGACTAATAGGAGTATAAAAATGGCCCGCAGCTTGTGAGTGGCTCAAAATCCACACGTAGTCCGAGGTGGGCTTGGCCTGTTTAGACCCATTTGGGCCCGGGCCCAAGCCCAACCCAAGACCTTGGGCGTAGGTCATCATTTTGAAGCTCGACACATAACCCAGCCCATTGGCCCGCTTAAAACCCACTCAAGGCCCGGCTCGCCTGAGACCCAGTGTCTTTTTTAGTGAAAAATAATAAAATTTTAGTAGAAATTTTTTTTTAAAAAATGTTCAGGCCCACCGGTCCACCCAATGCCCGAATACCCCCAGAGCTTAGGCCTAATTTTCTGGCCCATGGGCCGACCCGAATTTTGGAGAGAGCTCACAAGGCCCGACATGGGTCGGATTGGATAAGGCCAAATTTACACCCCATTGGCTGGCATATGTCAGTTGTGTTTGGGAATAAAAATCACATAGCAGAAGGAGAGTATCATAAATTTTTCAAAAAATTTTAAAATCATGGAGATTTCTGTGATTCAAAATTTGTTTCCTTCACAACTCACACTAATTTTATTATATTAAAAGAAGAGAATGGCACAAAGTGATTGCTTGTGTGAATAATATCAATAAAGGATATCGGACTAATGAGACTTCATAAACCTAATAATTAATTTGTGAAGAATGAGTTTATCTTAATGATCCATAAAATTTGTGCATTTGAGGCTCGACTTCTTCTACATTATCCTAATTTGGTGATCTTAATTTTAACTACATGATTTGTGGGTAATTATAGAAATGGGTCCAATATATTATAAAAATAAAAATAAAAAATGTTTGAAATAAAAATGATCCGCTTGTTGTTTGGTATATTTGCCGACATTTATCAAAATGATATTCTATATATGAGTAGTATTGAGATTATCATCTCCCCAACTTGCATCGAATCCCTAGTTTTGTGGAGAATCATCTCAAAACCCAATTTAGTGTACCAAACCATGCCACAAACACACACCAAAGAGCCAACTCTTGGGGAACATTAACGGAACAATACCAGACAATGGGGACCCTAATATGACCTAGAAGTTTTCCAAGATATTGTGTGATTTAGAGAGATTGAAAACTTTGCTAGCCATTGATACCCTTCTGATTATGCCTTTTGGCCTAATTAATATACCAATCACATTTACAACTCACAAAATAAAACTCAATTATGTTTCTTAATGGTCTTATCACTATATGTATGCACATGGCCACCGATGCCTTTATTCTAAGTAGATTGCTTTTAACACTGTAGTCTAGTGTTTAATTATCCAAGTTAGGCCAAAGGGTACCCTAATCATAGCAACCATTGGTCTTGATGTGTTGACACATAGTTAATGGGGGTGTGGATCGCATGGATCCATCAATATTGGATGTCATGTATGTGTCAAAGTATCATACTTCTGATATATCATTTTAGTCTTATGTTATAATGATATTTAGAAAAAGAAGATAAATTATTTGGCAAGCTTCTCTTTAGTTTTCAATGCAATAGTTATTTGTGAGTTTCACAATATTGCAGAATTCACAAGTCTCTCATGATATTTTTCATTTGTGTATGTATGTTATGAAATTAGAAAAACAAATACACACCACCACAAAATTTTATTAACTTTTCTACATTTTGTGAATTAAACAGAACATAATTTTACATATTGAATTGGACAAAATGTTGAAGTATGTCAAAATAAACATTATCCAACTGGGCACGTCACCAATATCTCAAATAATGGCTTTGTTTGACAAAGGTTTTTTTTTTTTTTTTGGCTAAAATCTACGACCAAAAAAAAAAAAAGGCAAAATAGACTAAAATAACTAAAGCCTTATTTGTCATAACCTAAAAAAGTTAAAAAGTCAC